AACTACAGCATCACACCCTTGAAGCAGTGTGTGTCCCATTCAGGAATGCAAACAGAGCTACTGATTAAGCAGTTCTCTGTATTCTTTTACAGTCCACCAGTGGCTGATTTAATCATAATAGCCCAATCATAATCTTCATCATTATTATTGGCAGAACATTAATTTTCATAAGCTGCAAAATATTCTAAGTTGTTTTCACAAAGTGCCTGTTTAACTTTAGTCGCTTGCCCAGGGAAATTATCGCAGACCCAGAATTTCTTTCACTTGCTTCTTGTAATCATCGTAAGCAATACGAGGCTAAACATTTTAATTTTTCAGTTTCTTTGTTTGTTTGTAGCCAGTCAAGTTGTTTAAATTTCCAATCAGAATCAAAATCCTGACTACCATTTACTTAATTATTTCTGCAAATTTCTTTAAAGTGAGGGCTTTAGAGCACAGCTGCTTACAGCGTTTGCTTTTCCTGTCTCACTATTTGTTTCAGGACTCTTCAGGTTACTGATTTACGTTATTACATTTTTTTTTTCTGCCATATCTTAATCATGGTTCATACTCACCTGAAGTTATTGCAGAAATGGAGGCGGCGATCTTTTAACAACACAGCTTGGCTTCTGCGTGATGAAACTGCAAAGTATACTCCAAAATCACAGTTACATATACTGGTCCACGCCAATTTGGGTCACAACTTTTTTTTTTTCTCTCGGAATCGTTCCTGATGCATCCCTGGCAAACAACCCTATTATTGTTAGTATCCCTAACTGCCTGATTCACTTCACAAAGTTCGGGGATCCCCTATCTGAAATGGAAGAGATTGAGCAGGTTTACGGTGCCACTGGACCTCTAGCCCAGGGACGTGCTCTGCTGGGGTGGTGCTACACCAGTAATGCCCAGCGGGGCCCCCACAGAGCACGCTTCGCTTGCGCTGTCTGCTGCCGTTACCCTTAACGACCCTCTCAGCGACTTCTTATACTGTCAGTAGTATAATTAACTTACTCCTTCACTCGCCTCATCGGAGTGAAGCTCTCCCGCTCTCCTTCAAAATCTCTTCCAGTCAGACAGCCCTAACAATTAATAAAAGCTTACTACCTTGTTTGTTGATTTGCCAGGGGTGTCACCGAGAATAATTGCCTGCGCATCCTCCACCATAACTGTAAGGGGTATACAGTTAAAGACCCAGAACCAGATATGAAGAATGAAGACCCGGAGTCAGAATTATAAAAAATCAAAGAAAAGTTTTACTGAAGATAGTTTGCAGTTTCATCAGCAGAAGTCAGCTTCAAGACTCACACAGGAGTTCGTAGGCCGCCCCGCTTACAGTTACAAAGATCACAGCAGTTATACCATTTCCAAGGTCTAAGCTACGTCATTGCTTACAGGTTGAATGATTCTCATTGGCTAGGAAACATTAAGAGCCTAAACAATTTAACACATGTGAGGAGATAGGGGTGCCTATCGCCTTTAGTCAAGATAGTTGTCGTCCACTCATTAGATTTAGGTCTGTGGTGGCCTCGCAGGTTAGAGAAGGGCGCCGGGTTGTCTGGTCCGAACGTCCAGAACCTACATAGAATGTCATACGCACACACACACACACACACAAACAACAGACACTAGCAAATAACAGCTCCCATCAAGGCTGAAGAGAGTCTGAGCTCCTTTTTATCAGTTAAGTATACCAAAACATAATGCTAAAACATTCACTCGTTTGGGAGAAAAACAGATCACTGGCATTTACTCCCAAGGAAGGAAATATACTGGAAAGAATACATTTTAATACAACAATTAAAGTTTGATAGTAACGCTCAATATAGCTTGACCATATGTCCAACGAAGGATCATATGTGTCCACGCTGCCTTTAGGACCCTCTATAAACCTTTCTACTGATCCCAGAGAAAGAGAAAGAGACAAACGGCCTTGTGGGTTACGTGGCCTTCGTGTCCTGCGTGTACTACGTGCAATCTCAAAGTAAGATTGGAATGCACCTAAAAGAAACTGGTTACTTGCATCACATGCATTAAAGAAAATATAATTTCACAAGCACAAAGAATATAAAAATTATTATGTGATAATGAATATATTTGATTATTGATTTTTATAAAGGAAGTATATAACCATTCAAAATGATATATGATTATATATGTATTTGAAGAGGCAAGGGATTTTGACCAACCCTTCACTTTCATGTACAATAACTAAAAAAATACGTTTATAGCTATAAAAGTGTTTTATGCCAAAATATTGGGTTCTACATGGGGGGATGCCCACTTAAATGATCTAACAAATGATATATCCTTGGGTAAATGTTATTTACATTGAAGCTTCATATTACTCAAAATAGGGAAACATGCACATATTGCAGTCAAGAAAAGACTGTTAGCTTGCGCCCTTTTATTGCACAGCATTTGAAAGAGAAGGATATGAGCCTGCAACCATTCAGAGATTGCTGCATGCTGGGAAATCAGCCTTACAAAGATCTCCTTAGTACAGGGCCGTAACCATCATATACATTACTAGAAATGGCCAAATTGACCCCACCAATATTTGATATTGGCCCTGTCCCAAATGGCACACTCACGGTCTTCCTAGTCTGCAGTTTCGTGACGTAACGCCGCTTTGACTGTCGTCAAAAGTGCGCATCAAGGGCACATATTGAAAAGGGACGCTCGCGGACACCCTTCTAAAAACCTAAAATGACAAATGGGACACCCTACGGTCTGGTCATGGACTTAAAGGACACTCGCACACGGCAGCCATTGTAAATCCACAAGACCGAAAGTGCATATGAAGTATGCCATTTGGGACAGGGCCTGCGACGCTTTAGTTTTAAAGTCCCCCATGAAATACATTTTTGGGGGCTTTTAGTATGAATATGTTAGCCTTACTGTTATCTATAAGCTAGTGTGCTCCAAAACAATGACACAATTTGCCTTTAGAAGATATAAGCGTTCAAAACTTACAGTTCTGCACAGAATGCTGTATTTTAAAGCGGAGGAGATTATGAGGAGAAACGGTTAGAGATTAAGAGGAAACTGCTGGTCAACGGCTCTGGCCAAGCTGTGATATAAACTAAACGCTATTGGCTGTTTCTAAAAAAAGGGGAGGAGCTGATCGATATGCCCCGCCCTGTCTTCCTGTTTCAGTGGAAATTACATCAACACACTGAATAATGCTACGCGTTTAAAGGCACTTCATTGGGCCTTAAAGGTCAGTTCACACTATTATAAAGATAAATATATAACTGTATTCGTTTCCACACCCGCGGACAATATCGTTCTGTTTATTATAAGTGCTCGCTACAGTTTTGTCGTCTGTCACTTTAACCCTCTGGGGTCCTTCATTTCAGAGTCACACTCTGGACCTTCGGGTCCAAATGGGCCGGAAGGGTGGGATTAATATTTATTTTTAAAAAATCATCTTTTTTTCTTTTTACTTGTTTTTTGGTACTTTCCTGTTATCCGGACCCCACGATGGCCTAACCCTAACCCCGCCCCTAAACCTACCCGTCACTGGGGTTAAGACCAATCAGGGACGATGGCCTACCCCTGACCCCGCCCATGGTATATGGTGGGGTCCGGATAACAGGAAAGTACCGTTTTGGATAATATTTTTTCTTTTCTTTTTTGGTGTTTTGAGATAATTTCAAAAATAAAAATGATTTATAATTAATATTAATGCAATAATTATGACCCATTTTTTCCCCATTGAATATAATAGAAAATGTAAAAAAAAATATATATATATATATATATTTTTTTTTTAAGCTGTATTTCATTTTAGAGTCAATCCTAGGCCTCATGAAAGCAATTTTTGAAATGAGATGGATGCCATCTGGTGGACAAACTGAGCATTTTAAAAATTCAAAACCCATATGTAATCTGAATTTATTAGTGTGTATGTGTATAAAAGTGTGTTTGTGTGTGTGTGTGTGTGGATGTGTCTGTTTTGCACTCTTGATGTTTTATAGATTCACCCCTTCACTGTTGTGTGCTTTTTTTATGGATCGTGGCTGATTTGTAGATTGTACGCACAAAAAAACTCTGTATTTTCACATTTTTGCCAATTTCCCATTCATTTCCTATGGGGGTCCATTTGGACCCGAAGGTCCTGAGTGTGACTATTTTTTTACAACCACTTAGACTATTCAAATCCTGTCCCCAATTTTTTTGGGTGTTCATATACCAAGTACCAACAAAGTCACCAAATTTCGGACCATTCCGATAAAGCTATGATTTAAAAAAAAAAATTTATTTAAATGCTTCGGGTCCATTTGGGCCGAAGGACCCCAGAGGGTTAAATGCTCACGCTTGTTAAAGCAAGATGGATTCTGATTGGCTGTCAATGTTTATTTTCAGCTGAAAAAAAAAAGTTCTGAAAGTGAAGGCCACACTGAGTACGAAATTCGCGTCCAAAATTTTCGCACGTTAAAAAATAAATACGCCCTCACGTTATGTCAATCACGCTTGCACACTGCCTACGAACACAAATTATAGTTGTGCTGGACTGCTGTCCTTTTCATTTCACTTCAGTGGGCCTTTAACGGTAAGATGCAAGTAGCTAACCTTTTAATATTTGATAACTGTTTTACGATACAAAATAATCAACGACCGACAATATTATCCAGTGATGCAAAGTACTCAAATGTTTTATCAAATGTTGAATTGAAAATATGCTATAATGTACATGATGTAATTCGTAAATGAATGTGACGAAGTTTGCGTTTCGAGATAGTAGTAGACATAAGAGTAAGTGAGTGCGCATATTTTAAAATCGAATAGGCCTACTATTGGCAAATAATTTAAATTGATTACTTCACAACTATTTTTCTAATTCCCTTAATTCCCCTTTAAAACGTATTTAATTCCTTCTTTAATAAAATTAAATAAATAAAGGAGAAGACATGCTTACAGGACAAGAAGCAGCAGCACCTCCAGGTCGGCAGGGGGCGATAATGCACCTTCGGGTTGTTTGACGATCGCCAATAGACGCTAGAAGAAGAGTTTTGCTCTGTAGTCCTAAAACAAAAATGGCAGCGCCAACGCCGGAGGAATTGTCGAGCACACACGTGGAGAAAAAGAGCAAGCAAAAGGTAAACATTATCAATCCCTGCTCTGGCTATAACAGTAGTCGCTTTTCACTAAGATGTGAAAAGTCTATAGACATAGTATAAATGTCTTTTTTTTTATATCGGATTGTCAAAGGAAAGGTAAGATGTTGTCATCATCGCAAAACACGTCGCTTCTTAATTTTCACGGCTTTATAATATTATATTCGACATTTCTTCTTGAGCTTTTTGATAGAATGTAAGAGTAAATCTATCGTTTGAAAAGTGTACAGTGGTGTTGATGGTATCATGTGTGGTAATACCATGGTACTCTGATATATCATAGTACTGAATAAATGCCATATTAACTATTATTTTCATATTATTTCAATAACCTGTTCTGTAATGAGCATTTTTTGAATTAATATTCATTAAGAAAAAAATCCTTATTGAGTAATGAAGTTCTTGAAAACATAAACATCATATCTATACTATATTATTATTTATATCGTATTTCAATACACCTCTTCTGTAATGAATATTTGAAATAATCTCCTCATTATTTCCCAGGAAAAAAATAATATTTTCACTGCTTATTAATATTTGTAAACCTTAAATCCACTGAATCAAAAGCCACCAAAACATTTGCAGAAACTCTCTAAGTCTGTATTTCTAAGAACTTTTTTTGGTTACACTTTATTTTAAGATGTGAGTAATAATAATTAACTTACTATAGGGTTTAGGGTTAGTTGCATTTAATTATTATGCATAATTCATAGATATTACATGTAATGTGCAACAAGGACACTGACAAATATATAATTTACCAATCATGGACTAATCGTTTTGTTTATTATGGACAGTCTTATTTATTTCCCCTGCACGGTGAATATTGTTTGCCATTCAGGGACAGTTGTTGTCATGGTCATCTGCATTTGTTCCTGAATGAAAATGTAAAATAAAGAAAACATTTATGAATGTGTTTGTCTTTTCCTCACTCAGCTTTCAAAACGCTATTGGGAGGAAACAAAAAACACAGAGCAGAGGAAACCCGAGGAAGAACCGAGTAAAGATGTGCAGAACCAGAATGAAGCACCGGTAAAAGAAAGGGCATCAAAAAGGAAGAAAGGTGAAAGTGTCCAACCAGTGGTAAGCGTGTGTGCTTTTCCATTCACTGACTTTAGTTTACTAGTATGCTATGTGTATGTATGTGCTAATATGCTAATCAGATCAATGCTTCTACTCACAGCTTCAAATAGTGCTGAGAACAGGCGCGCTCAACTCCCAAAACATTTATGGGTGTGAGTCAACAAATAAAGATGAGAAACCGCACTCTAGTTATATCTCATATCTTTTTTATTCTTACCATGTTCACACAGACGCGTTTCAGCCTAAGCCATCATCAGTGTGTGCATCATCTACTCACGGCTTGACATTAACTGTTTTGTTTAGCAGTCACTGTGGCATGTGGTTTTCCAAAGTATGGATAAAAACTGTCATAAAGATATTTTTAATATTATCTCATAATTTGGCAGCCGGTTTATTAGGCTGCTGTCACTTTAAGACCTGACGCACGGATCCATTATACTGTTACACATGTGTTTTTCTTTCTCAATTCAATTCACATTTATTTGTATAGCGCTACCCGTTCTTGTCTTAGGACAACTTTGATGAACTTTTCTGATCCACTTCAAATGTTGACTACTGTACAGGTGAAAGATACTGTACAAAGTGAGATATTTCAAGCCTTTATTTGTTATAATAGTGATGATTATGGCTTACAGCTTATGAAAACCCCAAATTCAAAATATTTTAGAATATTGTGAAAAGGTTTTCATATCTGTAAGCCATAATCATCAAAATTATAACAAATAAAGGCTTGAAATATCTCACTTTATGTAATGAGTCTATATAATATATTAGTTTCACCTTTTAAGTTGACTTACTGAAATAAATGAACTTTTGCACAATATTCTAATTTTTCACCTGTATATTTTTTTGCTTCGGTGAAGAAAATCACTACAAAGGGGCGCCTTGATTTCAAAACATTTGAGAACAACTGCTTTAAAGGATAAGTTCACTTTAAAAAAAACTTTTGCTGATGATTTACTCACCCCCATGTCATCCAAGATGTCCATGTCTTTCTTTCTTCAGTCGAAAAGAAATTAAGGTTTTTGATGAAAACGTTCCAGGATTTTTCTCCATATAATGGACTTCAGTGGGGTCCAAACGGTTCAAGGTCCAAATGACAGTTTCAGTGCCGCTTCAACGGGCTTTAAACGATACCAGACGATGAATAAGAGTCTTATCTAGCGAAATGATCGGCCATTTCAAAAATAAATAAAAAAGTTTAAGTTTTATAAGCACAAATGCTCGCCCTGCTCTGTGGTGCGCGTTCGTGACGGCACGTAATACGCAATTTCAGAGTCATCACAGAACAGAGCAGGGCGAGCATGAAATGTGATTATTTTGCACCATTATCGTTGTTCTAAAATAATGCAAACATCACACCCTGAATAGTTTGAACTTCACCTTTGGCTTCCTGCACCTAGAAGCCTTTTCTTCAATTATGTCCTAATTTGAACAGTCAAAAAGTCAATATTTCAGCAGCCCTTCTCATCTGATCATATTGTGTATTCAGAAAGAGGACCCTTTTCCTGGTCAGGCTCTGATACCAACAGAACGACTCCAGAAGTTTCGAAGAGGAGAGAAACACAAAACGGTGAGTCCCGATTTATACTTATACTTGTGACATTGTTGCGTTCCTGTATGTTTTACCACTTATTGTTTTGAGTATATTCCGCATATAGAAATGGATGCAAGTTGCTGTTAGGGGTGGGAAATATGATCAAAATCTTATATCACTTTATGAGAATTGAGTTTTTTTGTTGTTGCTGGAAATTAATATTTTTACAATACCAAAATGATAGATCCCAGTGAAATTTCAATACCAATTTTGATACCACAGAAATAAGATATTTACCTCAAAATATACTGATAACCATTAGAAAATGTAACACAAACCACCCTAATGTACATTAGGGCTCTCAATTTTGTGAAAAAATCCTGTTTGATTTCTGAGACACAATTGTTCATTGAATCGATTGTAAAATCCATTTTCCATGTCTAAAGACGTTTCCATTTTCAACACCAAATACAGGCAAATCCACGGACACCTAACAGGCATTAGGACGAGTGTAAAGAGGGCGCTTGAGACGCACAAGTCAGCAATATTTCTGATGATTTATTGGCGTGAAGTTTCGTGCACAATGACAAACAGGAGCGCAACATTCAGGGATTGAGATTAACACCCTCGACCCGCCCAAACGCGCGTAAAAATGAACTTTGGCGGGAAACGCTGTCAAATCACGAGCCAATGAGGCCATTATAACATTTTAATGACAAATTCAATTTGTACCACTGTAGTTGAGGTCAAGAAACATATTCATGACACAGTTATAATGGCCTCATGACTGCCAATGTCAAAACCAACCACATGACAGTTTAATGTAATGTTAACCCATAAAGCTAAGTGGTTTCTCAAGTTTGTTAATGAATCTGCTATGTCATGTTTATAACATATTTATGACAGGTTGTGGTGTCTTGGTAATGTCAAGTTGTCATAACCAAGACACTGACAGGTTATGATGTATTGGTTTATGTCAAGTTGTCATAACAAAGACATCTCAAACAATGTCATATTTGCATTCAAAATGTCATAATTGAACTAATGACAGTTGTCATAAACATGCATAAAACCTCCTTCATATTCATGTCATGTCGTGATTATGACGTGTCATGTCAGTCTTATGCACACCCCTTCTACTAAAGTGTTACCGACTTTTGTTTTTGTAATCCAAAATTTGGAATTAATTGTATGGTCCAATATATCGCTTATCGGCTTTTAAATATAAAGAATTATCGGTTATCGTTAACGGCCAAAATGTTCATATCGGTGCGTCCCTAATAAGGAGTGTATTTTGTGTTTTCACGCTCTTTCTCTCTGTGATGCGTCAGCCCGCAGGAGCCAGGAGAAAGCTGAAAGAGGCCATTGTGTTCTCGGAGTCCGTGTCTGAACTCGCTCAGAAACAGGCCGCACGATACGATCTCCTACTTCCAGAGGATGCTGGGTAATGTAGTTCACATATTGTGCCAGATGAAAAGAAGAATGACACTATGACAAACACCCACACAATCTCATTCCTAAATGACAACGATTCAGCCATGTCTATTAAAAATACAGTCCTTTCAACCACACACACACACACAGTATCGTTATTTCCGTTACAAATATTCAAATTATTACGGACGTACTGGGATAAAAGTTTATAGTTCGGATATAAACACGCAATCAAAATAGATCAAATCACCCTTTGAAAGTAACTTGGATCTTCAGATTACGATTGTGTCGATTACATCATTATTTGTCATTGAATCATTCAAGAAATTCGTTCAGAAATTCGGATTCATCCAGTAATAAAACAAGTGAAGTATTTATGAGTGAGTCATTGAATCATTCATTCAACCTGATTTAAAAAAAAAAAGTTATACTTGTAGTACATTATTTTACGTATTTTGTTTGGTTGTCTGTACAAAATCGTAATCTGTGTTTGAAACAAAGAAATCGTAAATCTCAATTTATCCAGAATCGTGCAGCTCTACTTTAATTTATATATTTAGCATCAAACTAATTATATTATGTTTTTCACAGTTTTTAAGAACTTGATAAAGTCCCCCTGTGATGAAAATGTTGTTTGTTTATGTGGTGTTTTAATATGCTTTAAGACAAACCATGTCTAAAGTCATGTGGAGTGGAGGTGGGGCTCATTTGCATATTCATAGAACCACGTATACTAAATGAGGCAAGGGTGTCGAGTTACATTCAAGATATTTTAAGGCATGAAGTTTTTTTCAAGGAAAAAACTTTTAAATATGTCATTTTGGTGATCAAAGATGAGTTTAAAGGGATAAAATGATTGACTACAGGGAGACTTTAAGGTGATTGGCCAGTAGGTGGCGATATGCACAATGTAAATCGCCATTATACAACAATACTGTATTATGGCGTGCTGGAACCAATAACCATGAGTCAGAAAGATTTGGTTCAATCAACCAAGAGTTTGGGATTTATGTGACCATAAGTTGACCCTGCTTTCTGTAATTTCCCCCAGAAGCCTCAAACATTCAAGTTACAAATGGCAGAAAAGATTAGCTTGGACATTTGGTTTAACTACTGTTTGTGTTTTTACTCTTCATACATTCATAAATGTACACACACACAGAGCTCATGTCTGTCTGCTTGTCTTCAGCTTCCTGGAAGGAGACGAGGGTGAAGACACGAGTACGATCTCTCAAGATGACATCGCGGATGCTGTTGACATCACTTCTGGATCAAAGGTGAGTTATTTGAGCACGTTTGAACACTAGAAACTGCAGCGAGAACAATAATAAACAGTAGAGTTTGTTGACGATCAGTTAAGCAAGCGTTTGGTGCCAGTAGCCGCCTTCACACATACAGTCTTAACTGGTAAAATACCGTTTAGAGATTGTATGTGAACCAGACTTAAAAAAAAAAAAAAAAAAAAACAGTTCTGTTAAATTTTCCAGTATGAAAAGTTGTAACATTACCAGTATGATGCAATGTGTTAAAGAATAAGATTACCAGTATGAGGTCAGGACGCGCTGATGTCAGAAGTCTACTCTGGGCCAATCACAAAGCTCAGAAGCAGATGATGCGATTACTCATTACTTTTGAATAGAGAGCCTAAGCCCCGCCCCTCCGCTTCCGGCTCATGGGACCTCATTTCGGAAAAAATATGTTTGATAGTCAATGGCGAGAGACAACTTATCTGTTTATTCCGTCTGAACTGTGCCCTGAATTACACATATGATGTTTGTCAATTTTAAAGATAATTCTGAAAGTCAAGTAAGTCGCAGTTTGTCATGAAACAGAAGAGTAACATTTAGTTTTATGTGAAAATCGCTCAATGAACTACATCTCCCGGGAAGCGAAACAACGAGCGAGATCTGCTGCTCGTGTGTGTGCAGTCTGGTACAAAACACTCGATGACGGCATAACGTTACGATTATAACGCAAGACTATAGAAACAATGACAGATGTTAGCTTCAGTAAAGTTAGCTTCAGGAAAGTTAGCTTCAGGAAAGTTAGCTTCAGGAAAGTTAGCTTCAGGAAAGTTAGCTAGCTTCAGTAAAGTTAGCTTCAGTAAAGTTAGCTTCAGTAAGGATAGCTTCAGTTTAGCTTCAGTAAAGTTAGCTTCAGTAAGGTTAGCTTCAGTAAAGTTAGCTTCAGTAAAGTTAGCTTCAGTAAAGTAGCTTCAGTAAAGTTAGCTTCAGTAAGGTTAGCTTCAGTAAGGTTAGCTTCAGTAAAGTTAGCTTCAGTAAGGTTAGCTTCAGTAAAGTTAGCTTCAGTAAAGTTAGCTTCAGTAAAGTCAGCGTCAGTAAAGTCAGCGTCAGTAAAGTTAGCTTCAGTAAAGTCAGCTTCAGTAAAGTCAGCGTCAGTAAAGTCAGCTTCAGTAAAGTCAGCTTCAGTAAAGTCAGCTTCAGTAAAGTCAGCTTCAGTAAAGTCAGCTTCAGTAAAGTCAGCTTCAGTAAAGTCAGCTTCAGTAAAGTCAGCTTCAGTAAAGTCAGCTTCAGTAAAGTCAGCTTCAGTAAAGTCAGCTTCAGTAAAGTCAGCTTCAGTAAAGTCAGCTTCAGTAAAGTTAGCTTCAGTAAAGTCAGCTTCAGTAAAGTTAGCTTCAGTAAAGTTAGCTTCAGTAAAGTCAGCTTCAGTAAGGTTAGCTTCAGTAAAGTTAGCTTCAGTAAAGTCAGCGTCAGTAAAGTCAGCGTCAGTAAAGTCAGCGTCAGTAAAGTCAGCGTCAGTAAAGTCAGCGTCAGTAAAGTCAGCGTCAGTAAAGTCAGCGTCAGTAAAGTCAGCGTCAGTAAAGTCAGCGTCAGTAAAGTCAGCGTCAGTAAAGTCAGCGTCAGTAAAGTCAGCGTCAGTAAAGTCAGCGTCAGTAAAGTCAGCGTCAGTAAAGTCAGCGTCAGTAAAGTCAGCGTCAGTAAAGTCAGCGTCAGTAAAGTCAGCGTCAGTAAAGTCAGCGTCAGTAAAGTCAGCGTCAGTAAAGTCAGCTTCAGTAAAGTCACCGTCAGTAAGGTCAGCTTCAGTAAAGTCAGCGTCAGTAAAGTCAGCGTCAGTAAAGTCAGCGTCAGTAAGGTCAGCGTCAGTAAAGTCAGCGTCAGTAAAGTCAGCGTCAGTAAAGTCAGCGTCAGTAAAGTCAGCGTCAGTAAAGTCAGCGTCAGTAAAGTCAGCGTCAGTAAAGTCAGCTTCAGTAAAGTCAGCGTCAGTAAAGTCAGCGTCAGTAAAGTCAGCGTCAGTAAAGTCAGCGTCAGTAAAGTCAGCGTCAGTAAAGTCAGCGTCAGTAAAGTCAGCGTCAGTAAAGTCAGCGTCAGTAAAGTCAGCGTCAGTAAAGTCAGCGTCAGTAAAGTCAGCGTCAGTAAAGTCAGCGTCAGTAAAGTCAGCTTCAGTAAAGTCAGCGTCAGTAAAGTCAGCGTCAGTAAAGTCAGCGTCAGTAAAGTCAGCGTCAGTAAAGTCAGCGTCAGTAAAGTCAGCGTCAGTAAAGTCAGCGTCAGTAAAGTCAGCGTCAGTAAAGTCAGCGTCAGTAAAGTCAGCGTCAGTAAAGTCAGCGTCAGTAAAGTCAGCGTCAGTAAAGTCAGCGTCAGTAAAGTCAGCTTCAGTAAAGTCACCGTCAGTAAGGTCAGCTTCAGTAAAGTCAGCTTCAGTAAAGTCAGCGTCAGTAAAGTCAGCGTCAGTAAGGTCAGCGTCAGTAAAGTCAGCGTCAGTAAAGTCAGCGTCAGTAAAGTCAGCGTCAGTAAAGTCAGCGTCAGTAAGGTCAGCTTCAGTAAAGTCAGCGTCAGTAAGGTCAGCGTCAGTAAGGTCAGCGTCAGTAAAGTCAGCGTCAGTAAAGTCAGCGTCAGTAAAGTCAGCTTCAGTAAAGTCAGCTTCAGTAAAGTTAGCTTCAGTAAAGTTAGCTTCAGTAAAGTCAGCGTCAGTAAGGTCAGCGTCAGTAAGGTCAGCGTCAGTAAAGTCAGCGTCAGTAAGGTCAGCGTCAGTAAAGTCAGCATCAGTAAAGTTAGCTTCAGTAAAGTCAGCGTCAGTAAAGTCAGCGTCAGTAAAGTCAGCATCAGTAAAGTCAGCGTCAGTAAAGTCAGCGTCAGTAAAGTCAGCGTCAGTAAAGTCAGCGTCAGTAAAGTCAGCGTCAGTAAAGTCAGCGTCAGTAAAGTCAGCGTCAGTAAAGTCAGCGTCAGTAAAGTCAGCGTCAGTAAAGTCAGCGTCAGTAAAGTTAGCATCAGTAAAGTTAGCATCAGTAAAGTCAGCTTCAGTAAAGTTAGCTTCATTCATTGAGAGAACATGTGCGGCTTTGGGGTTTGTAGTCTTTGTAATTGCGTATTTTCACAGTCTTATACCTCAACAGTTTTACATCAAACTGCGACTTTCTTGACTTTAAAATGTATCTTTTAAATTGACAACATCATATGTGTAATTCAGGGCACAATTCAAACGAGATTCAAATATTTGTTGTCTCTCGTCATTGACTACCATACAATATCTTTTCCGAAATAAGGTCCCATGGTGGTCGACCGGAAGGGGAGGGACTTAGGCTCTCTATAGGACTGGGAGAAAAAATCGATTCACTTAACTATCGGGATGTGTGTTTTTATTTTTGTTTAATTTTATTTTGTGCTGCACGACTAATCATATCGCGATGTCAAGCCCATGTGATTATATGACGCAAAATGCTGCAATTGTATGGAATAAATAAATTAGGCCTGTTAAATTGCGTTAAATATGTTATCAATTTTTAATCAATCAATGCAGCGTCCGTTAATTTCTGTGATCCTTTGGCTAGTGTTACATTATATGATCCTGCTCTTATTTGTGCAAATGCTTTTAAACCATTCATGCGCGACAAGACAGAAGAGAGCTGCTGCCTGTGAATGTCCTGACTGACACACACACACACAGAAAGACGCGCGCCAGTATCGTGCACACAGACAGCGCGCCAGAATACAGTTCTTTCGCGCTTAAATGAACACTAACACGCACAATTATACCAAAATGTCAGTTTTGTCGAGTATCCTCATAACATAAGAGCAGTCTTAAATAAACATGAAGAGTCGTGACAGAATGAGTGTGAGATCCGTGTCTCTGTCAGAAGCGGCTGCTCTTAAAGGGCCAGCAGCCAATAAAGCTTTCTGTCAGTAAAGTTAATCAAAGAACAAAGATAACAGAGAAAATTACTCACTGCTCTTGACTAAATAACTTTTGTAGCTTTATTAAGGATTAGTCTATATATAATTTATCATTTATGCAGTGCAGACTGTTTGATAACTTTGTTCAATTTCTGTATATTTCCTGCCTGTTAGACAGGAAGGGCACAGGTAAATATGACATTTATTTTATAGTATTGTATTATTGAGACAATAACAAGTTTGCAGTAATGCAAAGATGTCACTTTAATATTATTTTAATTTGAAAATCAATTAATTTGTTTGTATTTTAATTTGAAAACACAATGCATTTAGTTGTTGTTGAGAAATACACATTTCAGCATTATCACTAATCTGTGTGTGCATTTTACTTGAGAACCAAGCAAGTTGACTCAAACCATTTGTTTATTATAACGCATATCGCAATATTGACCTCAATAATCGCAATATGACATTTTCCCCAAATCGTGCAGCCCTAATTTTTTTATTCCAGAATCGATATTAAAAAAATGCATTCTGTGTGATGAGACCCTTTACGCCTGTCACTCAAAAGTAGGGTTGGGTACCGAAACTCGGTGCCAATAGGGAACCGGTTCCGACGTAAACGGTAGTAACCAGACCGAATAAGAACGAAAATTTCGGTGCCTGATTTCGGTGCCTAACTTCATTAGGCACACACGCACACACACACACACACACACACAAGGTCTCTCGCTCTCTCTCTCTCCGCCGTGCGTGTGCTACACAGTTTGGAGCACAGTTTCTTCTGTCTCGCATGCGCGCTCTTTCTCACAAGGTTTGGCTGCATTTCACGTGTAAAATTACGTGTCAGAACGCCCTCTGGGTGTGCCGATAGTCTGAATCCCATATAGAATCAAGCCAATTCATTGGCTGATGGCGCGGGCGCCGCATCGACGCACTTACGTCGTCATACTTTGTTGGCGCGCGCGCGCCATCTGCTCCTCAGATTTCTCTGCCGAAAAAGGAAGCTGGTCGGCAGCGCGAGGAGCTTGGCAGCGTCCCGTTCCCTATTGAGAGATATGTTACACCAGTAACCAGAGATGTTCTCTTTCATAGGTTCACTCAACGCTGCGTAGCTAAGAAGCAGTGGATTTGTATTTGTAGGCTGCTGTATCACGTGCCGTTTGAACTGACGCGCTACAGCGATCTGTCACATTTCAAAGAGCCAAAACGTTATTTATTGTGTGAATCTCGTAAAAATATTGACAGAATCTGACAGCTGTGGATTTGTTCCATATCAAAAGTAACCTTCTCTGTCTTGTCTGTCAGTGTCCTCTTTGTCCGTGATTTTTCTGTGTGAAAAGGGTCATTTGCGTGAGTCTCACGGTCAATGCGTGAGAGTTGGCAGCTCTGCCTGCTAGTAATCTCTATTAATCTCCAGTATTATTACATTGTTTGATACAATATTGTTTCATTTGATATTATGTAAATATGAATTTTTATTTTATATTGGTTTTATTATTACCATATGTTACTTGTATTTATATTGTTTAAAGATTTAAGTTAATATTGTGTCCAGTTTGGCCCTGTAAATTAAAGGGTATTATTTTTTTATAAAGTGTGTGCGGTTTCATTTTCTTAAGTACCGATTTAAGAACCGTTTAAGCACCGGAACCGTTTAAAAAATACCGAGTAGGTACTGGAATCGGATAAAACCCAAACGATACCCAACCCTACTCAAAAGCAAAAAAACGGTCAAATTGGGCAGAAAGCGTCTGAAATGAAGACAAAAGTGAAGCATTTAAAGGTCATAACCGAGGATTACCAGTATTTTGGTGCTGATGTGTAAATGGTATCTAAATGTTAAAAAGACTTTTAGACTAAAAAGTCGTTGCTTGTGTGAAGATATATAATGTGTTAAAAAAAGTCAATCTGGTAATTTTACACTACCACCTTTTATACATTAAACATGTTAAATTTAATGAATTTCACTGACGTTTTCTTTGAGATCAATATTAGCATTAGCATCACTGGTGAAAGTTTGGAATAAGGTGTTTTGAAAGAAGAGTCTGTAATGCTGCGTGTGTGTCCTCAGACTGAAGCCTTTCATAAGCGTGTCAGATCAGTCCCTGCGGCCTCGTCCCCGGACACACAGATAAAAGCTCGAGCATGAATGGCCTTTTCTGCTTAGATGTTCCAGTGATGAATGTAGTGTTTTATGTGCATATTTTTGAACCATATTTAATTCAGATCATCAAGCCACATGCAGCAGTGTTGTGAAAGAATCTAGAGAAATTTATCAAAGTAAATGGATTACTTCTTTATAAATCTAGAAAAAAATCTAGTATTTCTGCTTTCCTACTATGCATTTGTTAAACATGACATTTTAGAAAGTGAACAAGCATGTATAAATAGTAGTGTAAAATATTAAACCGTTTTTTAACAGCTGCACATGTGGTATGTTCTACTGGGCTTCTCTTTTTCTCTCCCCACAGTACTTCAACCTGCATCTTTCCCAGTTTGGGCCGTATAGGCTTGACTACAGCAGAAATGGACGGTACGTACTGAAGGTTTAATACACATGTATTCTAGTCCAGAACTGATGGATCACTACATGTACTTGTATTAAAGGGTTAGTTCACCCCAAAATGTAAACTCTGTCAGTAATGACTCTCCCTCATGTTGTTCAACCCAGTAAGACTTTCGTTCATCTTCAGAACACAAATTAAGATATTTCTGATTAAATCTGAGAGCTGGATCACTCCTCCATAGGCTTCTAAGGGATTGAAACTTGCCGGCCCAGAAAAGTTATTAAAGACATCGTTAAAATAGTCCGAGTGACTACAGTGGCTCAATCTTAAGTTTATCAAGCGACGAGAATACTTTTTGTGCACAAAAAAACAAACAAAAATAACGACTTTATTCAACTATTCATTTCCTTCTCTGTGGGCCTCGAGTGAGTTCACGTAGTGTAACAGCGCAGCGCTTCTGTGTCGTACGTCACACGTAGGCTCACTATTGGCCGACGCTGGTCATGTGTGTGTGTGATGTGTGTGACGTACAACTAGGGCTGGGCGATATGGAGCAAAAAATATATCTCGATATATTTTGCTATATCTCGATATTCGATATATATCTCGATATCTTTACAGGAAAATGGATGTGAATACAACTCAAAATATAGGCCTACAATCAATAGAAAATTAATTTTCCATAACAGAATGTAACCAAATGAGAAAAATTAAACACAGGGCCTGAATTTCGTCATCATTAATAATCACGTGATTCATATACAGAAACTGAATAAAGTAATCAAATGGAAAATAACACTGAGTAGTATTTTAGTCCTGAATAAATTAAATACATAGGTTATTAATCCTGATTCCTTTAACTTAAAGCCATCTTTTGTTGTATTGACAACAAAATGAATGACACACATATGGCTGCCGTCACTTTAAGAGCTAGTGCACGGATCCTGTGTTCATTATACTGGCATGCGTTTTATGCTTATTAAAGACAAAACCGACTATGTTTAGAGTATACTCACGACGACCGAAATTGACAATTTAGCGTGTTAAAGCAATATAATCCGCGAAAAATAACTTTTGTTACTGGCCAGCTGTTCTTAAGGCGGATTTTCTATGAATGTGCGCATAGAAAATAATCTCTCAGAGAGCGCGCGAGCACTGATTAGTTTAAAATCGCTTGAATGTTTAAACTGGTAAGACTTAAAAAGACGTGCAAATGGTAAATTTCAGTCACGATGCACTGCTGGCCCGATTGTGCGAGTGAATATCCATCATGTCCCGACTCCTAAACGCGAGTGTGTGTTATCACCGCAGCGCTTGATGCTTGCCTTGCACAACACATTATGAGAGAAGAGAAAGAAGCGGCACCGCTGAACACTCACGCTGTTTGTGAAATTGCGTCTGGCAGATAGTTGTTAAAAGAATGATTTGATTTTATAATCTGTGTGGATTACGATTGCGGGAATTTCCCGCATTATAAATGGGAGACCTGCGGGAATGATTAGAATTATGCGCAATACCCGCGCCGAAATTCGAGCCCTGCAATAGTTTAAAACAAGACGTTTGTAGTAGCCTTCTGATTACTGGAGTCCATTAATCGAACTTCCATGCCTCTTATATAGTAATTATATATTGTAGTATGTAGGCTACCAATTTACTAATGCAATTAATGCTCACACTCGGTTTCTCTCGTGCTCTGTCGCTCGCGCGCAGACACACTCGGAGTTCTGTAGCCTCCGGGCTGGTTGCGGATGAGACAATTGTTGAATGAGACAACACGCGAGGTGAGGGGGAACAAAAGCAAGGAGGAGGGGGCGAGCACAGCACAGAGAAGGCAAACAAGCAAAGTGGCGAAATCAGGATTAAATATAAACAATATATCGATATATACGATATGTCAAAATCCATATCGTGTTTAAAAAATATCTCGATATATTTTAAATATCGAGATATCGCCCACCCCTACGTACAACCCAGAAGCGTTGCGCAGTTACACTACATGAACTCACTCGAGGCCAACAGAGAAGGAAATGAATAGTTGAATAAAGTCGTTATTTTTGTTTGTTTTTTAAAAGTGTCAGTAACAACTATGAATGTCTGATATGATGAAACCTTCAGAAATCTATTTTTAAAAGTTAAAACTTGTTTATTAGTAAATGTTGGGAAAAACAACTTTTTATGCGTTTATAAAATTAAAAGAAGTCCTTCACTCTTATTTGTTTGTCTAATATGAAAAAAAAACGCAAAATGTTTCTTGTCTTGTCAATTCAGTTATGAATTACATGAATCTTGCACAGTAAATCATGCCATTTTCAATTAAAAAATTCAATTGCAAAATTTGATAACTTTAGTACTTTGCAACACTGGATATTACTGTCGATCATTAAACATTTCTATAATAAAACATGAACAAATTTGTATTTTTATATGCATGAAATTGGAAAAAAAAATGTCTTGGGATGAGTTTGACTATTTGTGTCGACACCTCAGTATTTAAATTATTGTACCTGTTTCCTTTTTAATGTACATTGTTTATATCACTGTACCTTGTCTAATAATATTCAGACAGTTGGTTTCGTTGGGAGATTAAACTCGTGATCATGTTAAGTGTGAACAGAAGTAGATTTCTGTTGCAATGCTCTTCACTTCTCTCACATTTACACATACATTTTGGAACCTAGTAATTACATTTCTGTTTTCTATAAATAGTTTAACACATAAGCTGACAAAAGTCTGCCATTAATTGTGATTACTTTTCTTTTTAACAGACAACCCTGTTTTTTCCCCCTTGAATATCAGTTTTCTTGAGATTTTACCATTTAACAACCATAATTAATCTTATTAAAGTAAACATTTAATCAGATTTTTAAGAAGAAAAAAATGTGTGTCTGCTCTTTTTCTTTATGATCTCAGGACATTTACTTCAATATATACCGTGAACATTTTAATCCAGAAATTTAAAATGTGTTCATTATAGAAGAGGTTTATTTAAATTGCCTTTTTTTTGCATTTGTAAAAAAAAAAAAAAAAAAAAACGATATCTATAGATGCATACCAATGATATGTGTGTGCCCCAGGCATCTGCTGTTGGGTGGAAGGAAGGGTCATGTGGCCTGCGTCGACTGGCAGTCCAAAGACCTGATGTGCGAGATGAATGTCATGGAGACGGTGAATGACGTCAAGTAAGTGCACATTCAGACCAGATTTTATACGTTTTTGCTTCATTCACCCACCCCATCTGATCCGTTCCCTCAGCCAAAGTAAAGCAGCGTAACAAAAACCCTGATTGCATTCAAGCTTTTCTCCGGCTCTGAGGCCCCATCCACACTACTGCGTTTTAGTTTAGAAGCGGAGAATTAAAACGAATACAATCTCCGTCCACACCAGCGTTTTAGCTGCGTATTAGAATTGATCTCCGTCCACATTAAAACGACTGAAAACGCGGATCACGTGATCATTCACCTACACTGGGCGTGCGCATGCCGGCGTAAACAGGACACAGATTGACTATTCCTCAGATTTGACGAAGAAGAAAGTAGCTAAGTTACCTCTACAAAGAGCGGCGCTCCATGTACGGGCGATACCGCCGCTGCACACGGGAATTGTCACAGATCGCTGGAATAATAGCTTGCCTCCGGCGCATATAGGCAGTTATAGCATTGAAAAATGCCGAAGTTACTTGCACAACAGCCGCTAGCAAAGACATCAGAGTCAGTAACGCTTGCCATGTCTGACGACACCCAATCAGAGAGCCGAGCGTCATCGTTTCTAAAGTCCTCCGTCTTGACCCGTCTACACTAAAACGCCCTCCGGAGATTCAAAACTCCAAACGGGGTCGGCAGCGTTTCTAAACTTCTCCGTTTTAGGTCTTCGGTTGTGCCGTTTTAGTCTGGACGGGAGGTGCAAACGTAGCAAAAGGTCTGCGTTTCTAAACTAAAACGTAGTAGTGTGGATGGGGCCTCAGGCAGAACAGGCTGAGTTTGTAGAAATCCTGGAGGAAGTTCTTTGATTTGGACTGACACTTTGAAATGAAGTCAGTTCAGATTCAATTTATTTATGGTTTTTATCACTATACATCCTGTACCCCTGTAATGAGTAATTGCCTCTCTCGTTCTGCCTCCAGGTGGCTTCATACGGAGGCCATGTTTGCTGTGGCACAGAAGAAATGGCTCTACATCTATGACTCTAAAGGTGTGGAGCTGCACTGCGTGAAGAAGTTCAATGACGTCTTGAAAATGCAGTTTCTGCCCTACCACTTCCTACTCGCCACTGCGGTGCGTCAACAGTTGCTTTTGGACAAACTTTCAACTTCTTTAAGGCTTTGTTAACCTTCCAAATAAGTTGTTTAAGTGTCAATGTACAACCTATTAAATTCAGGCTATTCCAGAGATTAGGAGCCGAATGTGAGAGAGCTCATCCTCTTTAAGTAGACTTTGATATCCTCGGTACGATGAAAGGTCCAAAGTTTTGTGTCCTTAAAGAGCATGATAGAAGATTGGTTCAATACAAATGAGCTAGACCGTTTAGGGCCTTATAAGTGAGCATAAATATTTATAATCCATATGGAATTTAACAGGTAGCCAATGCAGAGATTATGAAATTAGGGTGATATGATCGTATTTCCTTGACCTGGTGTGAATTCTAGCAGCTGCTTTTTTGGACTAATTATAAAAGTGTTTATTGAAGATGGAGGACCACCTAGTAGTGCATCACACCAATCCAGTCTTGAGGACAAGTTGTTGTCTCATATTGCACCCTGATCTTTAAAGAGGACCTATTATGCCTTTTTACAAAGTCTTGGTTTTGTTTTTGGGCTCTACTAGAACAGATTCCTTCATTATTTTCCTCATATTCTCCATTGTTGCCAGTCTGTCAGTAACGCTCTGTTTAGTTCCTGTCTCTATGAAGCCCCTCCTTCTGAAAAGTACACTGTGCTCTGATTGGTCGGCTGGAGCAGTGTGTTGTGATTGGTCGGCTGGAGCAGTGTGTTGTGATTGGTCAGCTGGATCAGTGTGTTGTGATTGGTCGCCTGGAGCAGTGTGTTGTGATTGGTCGCCTGGAGCGGTGTGTTGTGATTGGTCGGCTGGAGCGGTGTGTTGTGATTGGTCGGCTGGAGCGGTGTGTTGTGATTGGTCTGCTGGAGCGGTGTGTTGTGATTGGTCGACTGGAGCAGTGTGTTGTGATTGGTCTGCTGGAGCAGTGTGTTGTGATTGGTCGGCTGGAGCGGTGTGTTGTGATTGGTCGACTGGAGCGGTGTGTTGTGATTGGTCTGCTGGAGCGGTGTGTTGTGATTGGTCGACTGGAGCGGTGTGTTGTGATTGGTCTGCTGGAGCAGTGTGTTGTGATTGGTCGGCTGGAGCGGTGTGTTGTGATTGGTCGACTGGAGCAGTGTGTTGTGATTGGTCGGCTGGAGCGGTGTGTTGTGATTGGTCGGCAGGAGCGGTGTGTTGTGATTGGTCTGCTGGATCAGTGTGTTGTGATTGGTCAGCTGGATCAGTGTGTTGTGATTGGTCTGCTGGATCAGTGTGTTGTGATTGGTCTGCTGGATCAGTGTGTTGTGATTGGTCGGCTGGAGCAGTGTGTTGTGATTGGTCAGCTGGATCAGTGTGTTGTGATTGGTCAGCTGGAGCAGTGTGTTGTGATTGGTCAGCTGGAGCAGTGTGTTGTGATTGGTCGACTAGCAGTGTGTTGTGATTGGTCGAGCGCTTCGAGTGTGTTTGGGAAATGTCCCGCTCCTTTCCATAACCGCCAGTTTAACACACTACTAACTAACTCAATCAGGCCCCGCCCCTTTATTCTGCTTATGAATTATTTTAGGGATGTACTGATATGAAAATGTTGTCTTATACCGATAAATCTTTATATTTGTAAGCCGATAACCGATATATTGGCCCATAAATCTAAATCCAAATTTTTATATACATTTTTGAAAGTCTGATTACAAAAACAGAAAATCTCACCATTAAAAACCACGTCCCAAACACACAATTATAACATTCTCATTATAATTTTATGTAGCCGATATGACAGACTTGCGCTGCACATGTTGCACTGAACTGTATTTTCTTTTATTGAAGTGATTTCAATCATAAATCAAGCAATTCAAAAGCATCATGTTGAAGTGCATCTGAAGCGTCTCAGCTGAAGGAAATAATCCATTATTTATCGGCTTTAATATATCAAACAAATTTTCTTATCGGTCCGATAACATTATAAATTATCATATATTGGCCGATACCAATATGGTGCGTCCCTAAATTATTTAGATGAGAAATATTGTGATGTGTTCGTTCCTGGAAGAAAACTCAAGACTACAATGGAGGCGTTTCAGACAAATCAAATTTTTGTGTATGAAAAAGAGATCTTTCCCATTTAAATTTCAAACTGTATTCCTTACAGGTTTTCCATATGTCAATAATAATGTTCTGACCTTTCAGAGTGCCACCGGGTTTCTGCAGTATCTGGATGTGTCGGTCGGTAAAGAGGTCGCAGCCATCGGCACAAAACTGGGCCGTCTAGATGTGATGGCGCAGAATCCCTATAACGCAGTGGTTCACTTGGGTCACCCGAACGGGACCGTCAGTCTGTGGTCGCCCAATCAGAGAGAGCCGCTTGTGAAGATGCTGTGTCATCGGGGTGCTGTGCGTTCCTTAGCCGTGGATAAAACCGGCATGTGAGTATCACTATATTCACTTCAGTGCCTGACTCAAGAAATTATACAAATCTGCTTGTTGAGTCTCGGTTCATTTGTGTACACAGAGTTTGTTTACCGTAAAACTTCAAATAATAGCCCAGGCTTTTATTATCCCAAATGAGACAGGCGTCTATATGAGACAGGCCTTTAATTTAGTGTTGAGATGTTGTTCATTGAGTGTAGGCCTAGAGATAACGGTCCAAATAGCAGAGGCTGATTACCACATTATATTACGTTTTATATTCATTCGAATGTGTTTAACAAATCAGTTAATGTAAGAATTAGCCTACTTATATTGGCGTATGTCTAAAAGGGGTCGCACACCGGACGAGAAGCGAACACATTATTCTCTATGAGTGTACATACCACATAGACTGTAAAAACGATTGTATTTAATTGTACAGTACAATCATAATAGTGTAGTACAGACATGATCTTAATTCCATAATTTCCTTAAACATAACAATATTGCTGGCCATAAACGGACAAAGTGCGCGTCCGGTGTGCGATATCTCGTACTGGTTTTAGAAGATTAAATACAACCCGAAACTAAAAAACAGACCAGGGCCCGTATTCATAAAGAGTCTAAGAATCCTCTCAGAAAACTCTTAATTTAGCTTAAAAACTTTTACGTAGGAGTCTTAGCTTAAGAGCGATTCGGGACCGATCTGAGAGCAACTCTGAGTAAGGAAAAGACTAAAACTTTCGTCATAGTGAGGAGGCGGGGCTGACCCCGTTGCTATGTGTGACACAATCTTTTGAAGACTGTGATTGGTTGGTTGTCCAAGAAGGAAAAAAAGAGTCATGTTAAGTATAGGGTCTATTCTAAACCTTCACTTTAAAATTACATGCCTCATTTTTCCTATTTGACCGTTCTCACACACGCACACACACACACACATATTATATATGTGTATATAAATCCTTTTTTTTAATTTACCATGCTGTTAATTTTCTGTAAGGTATTTGATTAGCTTAGAATGATACAAATTCCTCCACTCTTTCCAATTACACTGATTGCTGGCATGTCTATTTAAGTGGTGGTTTTAATGTAAAAAACATGGAATCAAAACCAAGAAGGACGAGAAAGCCGGACTGGACAGAGGAACAGTGTTTACTGTTAGCCCAGTTAGTGGACGAACACAAGGCCATCCTTAAAGGAACATTCGGGCCGGGTGTCGATCTATAGCGTCTTATTAACTCACTGTCATCTATTGTCTGCAACACATTTCTTCTCCCTCTTCATCTTTTTTCTCCTCTGCTAAAGAAAATCTTAAGCCTCTTAAAGGGATACTCCACTTTTTTTGTAAATAGGCTCATTTTACAACTCCCCCAGAGTTAAACTGTTGAGTTTTACCGTTTTTGAATCCATTCAGCCGATCTCCGGTTCTGGCGGTACCACTTTTAGCATAGCTTAGCATACATCATTGGAGTGGACAAGACCATTAGCATTTCTAAAAAAAAAATGACCAAAGAGTTTCATGCTAATGGTCTTGTCCACTCCAATGATGTATGCTAAGCTATGCTAAAAGTGGTACCGCCAGAACCGGAGATCGGCTGAATGGATTCAAAAACGGTAAAACTCAACAGTTTAACTCTGGGGGAGTTGTAAAATGAGCCTATTTCCAAAAAAAGTGGAGTATCCCTTTAAAAGTCCTCGTCTGTACTCCTAACAATTTTGACCGTAAGACCTCTTTTAAGGGTTAAGATACTTTCTGAATTACTTTTTTCTTTACTAGGATTTTTTCTTTAATTTTAAAAGTAAACGCCCACATTTCTAAGAATTTTCTTAGAATTTTGTCACTAGGAGCGACTCTTTGCATTAAGATTCTTTATGAATACCCTGAGCCCTGGCCCTGAGCTTTATTTGAGACCGGCTTTTATTTATCCAAACCTGTCGCCACACCAGGCGTGTAAAAGAGACAGGCGTCTATTTGGGACTCGGCTATTATTTGAAGTTTTACGGTATATATCAAGTTAATTTATGTTTGCGCTCCAGGTCAGGGAGACAGAGACTGCAGAAAGCACATCCTTTGTTTGTTTTCTTTATTTCACAAAAGCACAATGTTTTGTTGTTATTGTAAGTTTACTCAAATAAAAGTAGACCCTTGAGAGTTTCGAATGGTGCATTCCTCATACTTATCTGTGTGACAAAAAAAAGAGAACTGTTTATACAGATCACTTTATACTGGGGGAATTGAATTCAAGAAATTATACAAATCTGGTTGTTGCATCTTTAAAAAAGAAAAGAAAAACAAATTGTGCGATGGCAATACGCCAGTTCTGCTTTCTGTGGGAATAGGCAAGTCACCTTCATTTATATAGCACTTTAGATTGTTTCAAAGCGGCTTTACAGTGATGATAGGAAATGAATGCAACTGTCAGAGATTGTTTTGGCTTTACAGCAGATCTAGAAAAAAGTCATTGTCCAGCTTAAGTTTTTAATTGATTCATTTCCATTGTAAAACTCATTAGTTATTAACTTAGGGGCCGCTTACACTTGCTCTTTTAATGCGCTCTGGCTGTTTATTTACACGACAACGGCGTTTTGGTGGCCTAAGAACGCAAACTTTGAAGTAGGTTTCAAAGTGCACGTTATAGAAAACCAGGTACTATATAGAAAACTCCAGAAATTATGTCAATTTTTCAGAAAAAGAAATCCCAATGTAATCACAGCTTTAAAAGTTTAATGTTTAGGACAACTTAGGCCATGAACTTTTCCTGCAGCATCTCATTGTGTGTCTGCTATTTTTCATATGCGTTTTGTCCATGTGTTCTTCACCACTGTAAAGTGACGTTGTAACAATCGGCCTAATCGGTAGAGTTACAAGAGTAACAAGACAACATAAAATCATCCTAATATATAGAGTGGTTAAAACACGTGTCATGTGTGACAGTGTCACAACATGATTATCAGATATTTTTCGTGTCAATTTTAATTATAGTATCTATTATTATTGATTTAGTTGTTGCAGCGCTGGACCGTACCTTACAAGGCCCTTCATTTATACCAATAAAATGTCATATTTGTTTGTTGCAGGCACATGGTGACGTCAGGTCTGGACCGGAAGCTAAAGGTGTATGACATCCGAGCGTTTAAACCCCTTCACTCCTGTTTTCTCCCTGCTGGAGCCTCTTGCCTGTCTCTGAGCCAGAAAGGACTGCTAAGTGCTGCTACTGGAGATGTTGTACAGGTAGGGTACATGGACACATGATATACACACACACACACACACACACACACAAGATCAACATCCACAGTCCTAGCCCAGCCCTTAACAATAACCTATCCCTGAAATCAGACCAGCGGATGCTCAGTTGCAAATAATAACCCACAACACAACAAAATAAAGCCACAACACAACGGAAATAAGCCTCGCTAATACCAAAACAAATCACTCTTAAGTCAAGTCATTTTATTCATGTAGCGCTTTATACAATATTTCATGTTTCAAAGCAGCTTCACAATAATAAACGGCAAATTCTGCTGTAAAGCAGCTCTAACAAGACAATAGTGTCATTCTTCAGCTCAATTCAGTTCAGTGTTGATTCAGTTCAGTTCAATAACGGTAAATTTCAACTAATGAAACGAGTTCATTTTGGCTATAAGCAGCTCTACTGAAGACAAAAGTGTTATTCACTTCGAGTCAGTTCAGTGTTAATTCAGATCAACAACAGTGCCGATGTCGCAAACTTTATCAATTATGCCATATTATTCTAGTGTTATTGCAGTCGAATCGATAATGTTACTTTAGTTAGTGTTAAAGTCCCCCTGTAGTCAATCATTTTATCCCTTAAAACTCATCTTTGATCAACAAAATTACATATTGAAACGTTTTTTCCTTTAAAAAAAATTCTTCATGCCTTAAAATATCTTGAATGTAACTCGACACCCTTGCCTCATTTAGTATACGCAGTTCTATGAATATGCAAATGAGCCCCGCCTCCACTCACTCACTCAGCTCAGAGATGAACAAAAAAAAAACTGGAATCACCAAAACACGAGAGTGATTCAGATTTTATTACATCGTGTAAGTGGCGATTGAATAATGGACTGACACTGTTGAGGCTCGCGCAGACAAATGGAAACAAATGAGCGCATCTCACACAAACTCGTTAACATACTGTGGTAAAAATTCAAAAAAATAATATATGATACAGTTAAGCAACATCACACAATCAAGAGCGCTGTTTTCCTGAATACCATCATGATTGAAAGTGACACTGATTTCATTCAACAGTTCAATAAACAAGAAGTTAGTATTAAGTCACTTAAATTTTAGATGTAATATTGAGTTTTTTGTACTATTCCAGCAGCGAAAATAGATCCAAACAAAGATCCCAGCAGAACCACAGCGCATCTCACAGCATCTCACTCCATTACTGAACGATCCAGCGCTTTGAACCAATCGGTTGAGTGACTCACTCATAACGAATCATTCTTGAACGAATCAGCCGTTTCAATCAATGACTCACTCATTAAGACGGATTAGTTGGTTGTTTAGTTTCATGTTTAAGTCCGATCATTTTTTCCTCAACGTTTCTTATTTGTATATTCAAAAAATATTTAAAACACTTTCATAACATTATTTAACGCAGTTGTAATTTTAATGTAAATTATTTAATTTGATTGGTAACAGCCATATAGCGTCTCAATATTCTAATTAAATTTATTGATCAAACTTAAGAATTTGAAATGAAAGATGAAGCATATATTTAATAACATTAGGGAAAAAATGCCCTTTTTAAAGGTAAAAAATGCCTTCGGGCTATATATCACAAACATGCAGATTTAAATGTCAAATTTTAAATGAACACTGATGAGAAAATTGCTTCAGAATAAATTATATTTACACCACACACACACAAAAAAAAAAATCCGGACAAGCAATTTGTTTCTTGAGCGAGTGAATGACCAATTTATTGTTGAGCCCTGGAGACATTCCTTTATTTCTGATTTACTTGTGAGGACAGAACGGCATGTAACATAAGACTATGGAATTATTTTCCATATGTTATATATAGAAAATAATATGAAAGAGATAAAGAACCGCTGCGTATACACATAAGTTGCAGTTATGAATGATACACAGCAATTCAATATTGTAATATTAGAATACTTTCTCAATTGTAATATTGAAACAAGCTTTCTCTATAAAGCAGCTTTGAAACGATATCTATTGTGAAATACATGTACGCTATACAAATTAACTTGAATTGAATTAATATTATAATGCTGCCATTTAAGCATCGGTCAGACCGTCGGTCCAAATTAGATTTTTGTGGATATCTGATTAGAATCTGATTGTATTTAGCAAGTGAGAACGGCAAAATCATTTATATATATATACTTTTTTTTTTTACAAATCTGTTTTGAGCTACATTCATATGTAGTTTGAAATCAACTCAATTCAACTTTTATTTATGTGGTTTTGGTTGGGTGACAGTTGTAGGTTACAGTTTTACAAGAGTTTACAGTGTGACAAAAGCACAATGTTGTGTTTTATTGCGAGTGTACACAAATATAAGTAAACACTTTGCAGGTTTAAAGATCTGTATGAACAAAATGACGGAGTATGTTTTTTATTTTTCCACTGTTCGATCGCGCCTCTCTCTCTCACACACACACACACAAACACACACAGAGTTCAATCGCGCCCGCGCCTCTCTCTCTCTCGCGCACACACACACACACTCCAGCATTGCAATCTTGACATCGCAGCCTGTTCATTATGCGGTCACACCAAACACGGAATAGAGTGTCAAATTCGCATCTATCGCATCTAGTTCGACGCTAGTCCAAAGCGAATAGGCCGCGCGTATAAAGCCAACGTTTGAAGTCAACGCGCGTTCAGAGCTAAGCCGATGCTACAGATTATGTGTCCCTAAAGAACCCGCGTATCTAACAGTAGTTCCGCATTACATTAATTAATTTGCACGCGAGTTTTATTTATTTTTATACCGTGTATTCTCCGTGTAAATTCGTGCACCAAACCGTGACGCCCGTACCGTTTCGGTTCAATACGAATACATGTACCGTTCCACCCCTACAATTTACTAATGCTCGGACACACTCTCACGCGCTCTCTTGCGCACTGGGCCTCATGGAGGCACGTGATCAGACAGTGGTTTACGGAGCACTAGATTGGCTTTGCAAAAAACAAAACCTTTGATACAGAGCGTTCTGTGAACGACGCATTTTAAATATCGCTGGATCATGCAAATTTGATCGTGGGAAGCCAAAATCGTGATCGTGATTTAAAATTCGATTAATCGTGCAGCCCTAGGACCCACTCATTTTTACCGTCTCTATTCAGCGCATATGTCTGTTCGCTTTTCAGAGCGCCGTCAGTCAAATCGATTCCACTTGAGGAATGCCCTACTAAACTAAACTCCATTTCCGCTGAATCGCTACATTTATATTTCTCAACGAGTCGTAACTTTCGAAAATAGCCGCCAGTTTTACTCTTCCAGACAAATATTGCGTTGCAAACATCAATAAGGCCGTGTGTCCACCAAAGTGGCTAAAAACGCTAGCCGCTCTGCTGAAGACGCCTAGCTTTGGGCGCTTGAGAGCGTTTTGGCAGCGCAGCGTTTTTTTCCGTTGAGACGTTTCGTTGCTATGATACAGAATATCCGCAGCACAGTTTACTTGTAACAGATTTCGCAGATAATTTGTTTTATACTAAAAATTTATTTTTCATCAATTTTGTTCGGTTTGCTCTGCTGGTGGATGTCGTTGTACAGAAAGAATGTTGTGACAGTTGGTCGGTGTGGTATTAGCCCCGCCCCCCTCCAATGTGATTGGATGGCTGGGTAAAAAGTGACAGTGAGGAGCGCTGCGTTTTATCCAAAGTTGAACATTCTTCAACTTTCGGCGACCAGTAAAAAACGCAGAGCGCTTTAGCGTGAAAAACCGCTCAGCGCCTCGTTACGCTCATGGCGTTTAAAAAACGCGGCACTCCCATTGAAAACAATTGAAAACACACCAGGCGCGTGAAAAAACCCTTTGGTGGACACACGGCCTGACCGCTTTAAGTTGTCAATGCTGGCAAATGACCATGGTATCAGCGGGATGATCCACGGATAGCTGCATTTAATGCACGACGTGAAGCGGAGTTTAGTTTAATTAAAAGGCACTAGAATACATGAAATGGCATTTACCCACACACTTCTGTTTTGCTTCGACGCATCCACAGGTTTATAAGAACGCTTGTGGAAGCAGTACTTTATCCAAACCCTACATGGCCCACCGCCTTCGAGGGCAGGTTTGTGGATTTGCGTACTGTCCGTTTGAGGATGTTCTGGGAATCGGACATGAACAGGGCTTCACCAGCATGATTGTACCAGGTAAGACACACATACATGAAAGTTCACTCAAAGGACATGTTCACTCCTTCATACCTGCAGGCTTGCTTGTATTGTCAGCTGTTTCATGTACGGTGGAGAGATGAGCTCCGTTCCCAAACCTAGTGAAGCTTATACTGCATTGTAGAGCCGTCGCAGTTTGTCATAAAACAGAAGAGTAACATTTAGTTTTATGTGAAGATCGCTTAATGAACTACATCTCCCGGGAAGCGAAACAACGAGCGAGATCCGCTGCTCCTGTGTGTGCAGTCTGGTACAAAACACTTGATGACGGCGTAACGTTACGATTATAACGCAAGACTATAGAAACAATGACAGATGTTAGCTTCAGTAAAGTTAGCATCAGTAAAGTCAGCGTCAGAAAAGTCAGCGTCAGTAAAGTCAGCGTCAGTAAAGTCAGCGTCGGTAAAGTCAGCGTCGGTAAAGTCAGCGTCGGTAAAGTCAGCGTCGGTAAAGTCAGCGTCGGTAAAGTCAGCGTCGGTAAAGTCAGCGTCGGTAAAGTCAGCGTCGGTAAAGTCAGCTTCGGTAAAGTCAGCGTCGGTAAAGTCAGCGTCAGTAAAGTCAGCGTCAGTAAAGTCAGCGTCAGTAAAGTCAGCGTCAGTAAAGTCAGCGTCAGTAAAGTCAGCGTCGGTAAAGTCAGCGTCGGTAAAGTCAGCGTCAGTAAAGTCAGCGTCAGTAAAGTCAGCGTCAGTAAAGTCAGCGTCAGTAAAGTCAGCGTCAGTAAAGTCAGCGTCAGTAAAGTCAGCGTCAGTAAAGTCAGCTTCAGTAAAGTCAGCTTCAGTAAAGTCAGCTTCAGTAAAGTCAGCGTCAGTAAAGTCAGCGTCAGTAAAGTCAGCGTCAGTAAAGTCAGCGTCAGTAAAGTCAGCGTCAGTAAGGTCAGCGTCAGTAAGGTCAGCGTCAGTAAGGTCAGCGTCAGTAAAGTCAGCGTCAGTAAAGTCAGCGTCAGTAAAGTCAGCGTCAGTAAAGTCAGCGTCAGTAAGGTCAGCTTCAGTAAGGTCAGCGTCAGTAAGGTCAGCGTCAGTAAGGTCAGCGTCAGTAAGGTCAGCGTCAGTAAAGTCAGCGTCAGTAAAGTCAGCGTCAGTAAAGTCAGCGTCAGTAAAGTCAGCGTCAGTAAGGTCAGCGTCAGTAAGGTCAGCGTCAGTAAGGTCAGCGTCAGTAAGGTCAGCGTCAGTAAGGTCAGCGTCAGTAAGGTCAGCTTCAGTAAAGTCAGCGTCAGTAAAGTCAGCGTCAGTAAAGTCAGCGTCAGTAAAGTCAGCGTCAGTAAAGTCAGCGTCAGTAAAGTCAGCGTCAGTAAAGTCAGCGTCAGTAAAGTCAGCGTCAGTAAAGTCAGCGTCAGTAAAGTCAGCGTCAGTAAAGTCAGCGTCAGTAAAGTCAGCGTCAGTAAAGTCAGCGTCAGTAAAGTCAGCGTCAGTAAAGTCAGCGTCAGTAAAGTCAGCGTCAGTAAAGTCAGCGTCAGTAAAGTCAGCGTCAGTAAAGTCAGCGTCAGTAAAGTCAGCGTCAGTAAAGTCAGCGTCAGTAAAGTCAGCGTCAGTAAAGTCAGCGTCAGTAAAGTCAGCGTCAGTAAAGTCAGCGTCAGTAAAGTCAGCGTCAGTAAAGTCAGCGTCAGTAAAGTCAGCGTCAGTAAAGTCAGCGTCAGTAAAGTCAGCGTCAGTAAAGTCAGCGTCAGTAAAGTCAGCGTCAGTAAAGTCAGCGTCAGTAAAGTCAGCGTCAGTAAAGTCAGCGTCAGTAAAGTCAGCGTCAGTAAAGTCAGCGTCAGTAAAGTCAGCGTCAGTAAAGTCAGCGTCAGTAAAGTCAGCGTCAGTAAAGTCAGCGTCAGTAAAGTCAGCGTCAGTAAAGTCAGCGTCAGTAAAGTCAGCGTCAGTAAAGTCAGCGTCAGTAAAGTCAGCGTCAGTAAAGTCAGCGTCAGTAAAGTCAGCGTCAGTAAAGTCAGCGTCAGTAAAGTCAGCGTCAGTAAAGTCAGCGTCAGTAAAGTCAGCGTCAGTAAAGTCAGCGTCAGTAAAGTCAGCGTCAGTAAAGTCAGCGTCAGTAAAGTCAGCGTCAGTAAAGTCAGCGTCAGTAAAGTCAGCGTCAGTAAAGTCAGCGTCAGTAAAGTCAGCGTCAGTAAAGTCAGCGTCAGTAAAGTCAGCGTCAGTAAAGTCAGCGTCAGTAAAGTCAGCGTCAGTAAAGTCAGCGTCAGTAAAGTCAGCGTCAGTAAAGTCAGCGTCAGTAAAGTCAGCGTCAGTAAAGTCAGCGTCAGTAAAGTCAGCGTCAGTAAAGTCAGCGTCAGTAAAGTCAGCGTCAGTAAAGTCAGCGTCAGTAAAGTCAGCGTCAGTAAAGTCAGCGTCAGTAAAGTCAGCGTCAGTAAAGTCAGCGTCAGTAAAGTCAGCGTCAGTAAAGTCAGCGTCAGTAAAGTCAGCGTCAGTAAAGTCAGCGTCAGTAAAGTCAGCGTCAGTAAAGTCAGCGTCAGTAAAGTCAGCGTCAGTAAAGTCAGCGTCAGTAAAGTCAGCGTCAGTAAAGTCAGCGTCAGTAAAGTCAGCGTCAGTAAAGTCAGCGTCAGTAAAGTCAGCGTCAGTAAAGTCAGCGTCAGTAAAGTCAGCGTCAGTAAAGTCAGCGTCAGTAAAGTCAGCGTCAGTAAAGTCAGCGTCAGTAAAGTCAGCGTCAGTAAAGTCAGCGTCAGTAAAGTCAGCGTCAGTAAAGTCAGCGTCAGTAAAGTCAGCGTCAGTAAAGTCAGCGTCAGTAAAGTCAGCGTCAGTAAAGTCAGCGTCAGTAAAGTCAGCGTCAGTAAAGTCAGCGTCAGTAAAGTCAGCGTCAGTAAAGTCAGCGTCAGTAAAGTCAGCGTCAGTAAAGTCAGCGTCAGTAAAGTCAGCGTCAGTAAAGTCAGCGTCAGTAAAGTCAGCGTCAGTAAAGTCAGCGTCAGTAAAGTCAGCGTCAGTAAAGTCAGCGTCAGTAAAGTCAGCGTCAGTAAAGTCAGCGTCAGTAAAGTCAGCGTCAGTAAAGTCAGCGTCAGTAAAGTCAGCGTCAGTAAAGTCAGCGTCAGTAAAGTCAGCGTCAGTAAAGTCAGCGTCAGTAAAGTCAGCGTCAGTAAAGTCAGCGTCAGTAAAGTCAGCGTCAGTAAAGTCAGCGTCAGTAAAGTCAGCGTCAGTAAAGTCAGCGTCAGTAAAGTCAGCGTCAGTAAAGTCAGCGTCAGTAAAGTCAGCGTCAGTAAAGTCAGCGTCAGTAAAGTCAGCGTCAGTAAAGTCAGCGTCAGTAAAGTCAGCGTCAGTAAAGTCAGCGTCAGTAAAGTCAGCGTCAGTAAAGTCAGCGTCAGTAAAGTCAGCGTCAGTAAAGTCAGCGTCAGTAAAGTCAGCGTCAGTAAAGTCAGCGTCAGTAAAGTCAGCGTCAGTAAAGTCAGCGTCAGTAAAGTCAGCGTCAGTAAAGTCAGCGTCAGTAAAGTCAGCGTCAGTAAAGTCAGCGTCAGTAAAGTCAGCGTCAGTAAAGTCAGCGTCAGTAAAGTCAGCGTCAGTAAAGTCAGCGTCAGTAAAGTCAGCGTCAGTAAAGTCAGCGTCAGTAAAGTCAGCGTCAGTAAAGTCAGCGTCAGTAAAGTCAGCGTCAGTAAAGTCAGCGTCAGTAAAGTCAGCGTCAGTAAAGTCAGCGTCAGTAAAGTCAGCGTCAGTAAAGTCAGCGTCAGTAAAGTCAGCGTCAGTAAAGTCAGCGTCAGTAAAGTCAGCGTCAGTAAAGTCAGCGTCAGTAAAGTCAGCGTCAGTAAAGTCAGCGTCAGTAAAGTCAGCGTCAGTAAAGTCAGCGTCAGTAAAGTCAGCGTCAGTAAAGTCAGCGTCAGTAAAGTCAGCGTCAGTAAAGTCAGCGTCAGTAAAGTCAGCGTCAGTAAAGTCAGCGTCAGTAAAGTCAGCGTCAGTAAAGTCAGCGTCAGTAAAGTCAGCGTCAGTAAAGTCAGCGTCAGTAAAGTCAGCGTCAGTAAAGTCAGCGTCAGTAAAGTCAGCGTCAGTAAAGTCAGCGTCAGTAAAGTCAGCGTCAGTAAAGTCAGCGTCAGTAAAGTCAGCGTCAGTAAAGTCAGCGTCAGTAAAGTCAGCGTCAGTAAAGTCAGCGCCAGTAAAGTCAGCGCCAGTAAAGTCAGCGCCAGTAAAGTCAGCGCCAGTAAAGTCAGCGCCAGTAAAGTCAGCGCCAGTAAAGTCAGCGCCAGTAAAGTCAGCGCCAGTAAAGTCAGCGCCAGTAAAGTCAGCGCCAGTAAAGTCAGCGCCAGTAAAGTCAGCGCCAGTAAAGTCAGCGCCAGTAAAGTCAGCGTCAGTAAAGTCAGCGTCAGTAAAGTCAGCGTCAGTAAAGTCAGCGTCAGTAAAGTCAGCGTCAGTAAAGTCAGCGTCAGTAAAGTCAGCGTCAGTAAAGTCAGCGTCAGTAAAGTCAGCGTCAGTAAAGTCAGCGTCAGTAAAGTCAGCTTCAGTAAAGTCAGCGTCAGTAAAGTCAGCGTCAGTAAAGTCAGCGTCAGTAAAGTCAGCGTCAGTAAAGTCAGCGTCAGTAAAGTCAGCGTCAGTAAAGTCAGCGTCAGTAAAGTCAGCGTCAGTAAAGTCAGCGTCAGTAAAGTCAGCGTCAGTAAAGTCAGCGTCAGTAAAGTCAGCGCCAGTAAAGTCAGCGCCAGTAAAGTCAGCGCCAGTAAAGTCAGCGCCAGTAAAGTCAGCGCCAGTAAAGTCAGCGCCAGTAAAGTCAGCGCCAGTAAAGTCAGCGTCAGTAAAGTCAGCGTCAGTAAAGTCAGCGTCAGTAAAGTCAGCTTCAGTAAAGTCAGCGTCAGTAAAGTCAGCGCCAGTAAAGTCAGCTTCAGTAAAGTCAGCGCCAGTAAAGTCAGCGTCAGTAAAGTCAGCGCCAGTAAAGTCAGCGCCAGTAAAGTCAGCGCCAGTAAAGTCAGCGTCAGTAAAGTCAGCGTCAGTAAAGTCAGCGTCAGTAAAGTCAGCGTCAGTAAAGTCAGCGTCAGTAAAGTCAGCGTCAGTAAAGTCAGCGTCAGTAAAGTCAGCGTCAGTAAAGTCAGCGTCAGTAAAGTCAGCGTCAGTAAAGTCAGCGTCAGTAAAGTCAGCGTCAGTAAAGTCAGCGTCAGTAAAGTCAGCGTCAGTAAAGTCAGCGTCAGTAAAGTCAGCGTCAGTAAAGTCAGCGTCAGTAAAGTCAGCGTCAGTAAAGTCAGCGTCAGTAAAGTCAGCGTCAGTAAAGTCAGCGCCAGTAAAGTCAGCGCCAGTAAAGTCAGCGCCAGTAAAGTCAGCGCCAGTAAAGTCAGCGCCAGTAAAGTCAGCGCCAGTAAAGTCAGCGCCAGTAAAGTCAGCGCCAGTAAAGTCAGCGTCAGTAAAGTCAGCGTCAGTAAAGTCAGCGTCAGTAAAGTCAGCGTCAGTAAAGTCAGCGTCAGTAAAGTCAGCGCCAGTAAAGTCAGCTTCAGTAAAGTCAGCGTCAGTAAAGTCAGCGTCAGTAAAGTCAGCTTCAGTAAAGTCAGCGTCAGTAAAGTCAGCGCCAGTAAAGTCAGCTTCAGTAAAGTCAGCGCCAGTAAAGTCAGCGCCAGTAAAGTCAGCGCCAGTAAAGTCAGCGCCAGTAAAGTCAGCGTCAGTAAAGTCAGCGTCAGTAAAGTCAGCGTCAGTAAAGTCAGCGTCAGTAAAGTCAGCGTCAGTAAAGTCAGCGTCAGTAAAGTCAGCGTCAGTAAAGTCAGCGTCAGTAAAGTCAGCGTCAGTAAAGTCAGCGTCAGTAAAGTCAGCGTCAGTAAAGTCAGCGTCAGTAAAGTCAGCGTCAGTAAAGTCAGCGTCAGTAAAGTCAGCGTCAGTAAAGTCAGCGTCAGTAAAGTCAGCGTCAGTAAAGTCAGCGTCAGTAAAGTCAGCGTCAGTAAAGTCAGCGTCAGTAAAGTCAGCGTCAGTAAAGTCAGCGCCAGTAAAGTCAGCGCCAGTAAAGTCAGCGCCAGTAAAGTCAGCGCCAGTAAAGTCAGCGCCAGTAAAGTCAGCGCCAGTAAAGTCAGCGCCAGTAAAGTCAGCGCCAGTAAAGTCAGCGCCAGTAAAGTCAGCGCCAGTAAAGTCAGCGCCAGTAAAGTCAGCGCCAGTAAAGTCAGCGTCAGTAAAGTCAGCGTCAGTAAAGTCAGCGCCAGTAAAGTCAGCTTCAGTAAAGTCAGCGTCAGTAAAGTCAGCGTCAGTAAAGTCAGCGTCAGTAAAGTCAGCTTCAGTAAAGTCAGCGCCAGTAAAGTCAGCGCCAGTAAAGTCAGCGCCAGTAAAGTCAGCGCCAGTAAAGTCAGCGCCAGTAAAGTCAGCTTCAGTAAAGTCAGCGCCAGTAAAGTCAGCGCCAGTAAAGTCAGCGCCAGTAAAGTCAGCGCCAGTAAAGTCAGCGCCAGTAAAGTCAGCGCCAGTAAAGTCAGCGCCAGTAAAGTCAGCGTCAGTAAAGTCAGCGTCAGTAAAGTCAGCGTCAGTAAAGTCAGCGTCAGTAAAGTCAGCGTCAGTAAAGTCAGCGTCAGTAAAGTCAGCGTCAGTAAAGTCAGCGTCAGTAAAGTCAGCGTCAGTAAAGTCAGCGTCAGTAAAGTCAGCGTCAGTAAAGTCAGCGTCAGTAAAGTCAGCGTCAGTAAAGTCAGCGTCAGTAAAGTCAGCGTCAGTAAAGTCAGCGTCAGTAAAGTCAGCGTCAGTAAAGTCAGCGTCAGTAAAGTCAGCGTCAGTAAAGTCAGCGCCAGTAAAGTCAGCGCCAGTAAAGTCAGCGCCAGTAAAGTCAGCGCCAGTAAAGTCAGCGCCAGTAAAGTCAGCGCCAGTAAAGTCAGCGTCAGTAAAGTCAGCGTCAGTAAAGTCAGCGTCAGTAAAGTCAGCGTCAGTAAAGTCAGCGTCAGTAAAGTCAGCGTCAGTAAAGTCAGCGTCAGTAAAGTCAGCGCCAGTAAAGTCAGCGCCAGTAAAGTCAGCGCCAGTAAAGTCAGCGCCAGTAAAGTCAGCGTCAGTAAAGTCAGCGTCAGTAAAGTCAGCGTCAGTAAAGTCAGCGTCAGTAAAGTCAGCGTCAGTAAAGTCAGCGTCAGTAAAGTCAGCGTCAGTAAAGTCAGCGTCAGTAAAGTCAGCGTCAGTAAAGTCAGCGTCAGTAAAGTCAGCGTCAGTAAAGTCAGCGTCAGTAAAGTCAGCGTCAGTAAAGTCAGCGTCAGTAAAGTCAGCGCCAGTAAAGTCAGCGCCAGTAAAGTCAGCGCCAGTAAAGTCAGCGCCAGTAAAGTCAGCGCCAGTAAAGTCAGCGCCAGTAAAGTCAGCGTCAGTAAAGTCAGCGCCAGTAAAGTCAGCGCCAGTAAAGTCAGCGCCAGTAAAGTCAGCGCCAGTAAAGTCAGCGTCAGTAAAGTCAGCGTCAGTAAAGTCAGCGTCAGTAAAGTCAGCGTCAGTAAAGTCAGCGTCAGTAAAGTCAGCGTCAGTAAAGTCAGCGTCAGTAAAGTCAGCGTCAGTAAAGTCAGCGTCAGTAAAGTCAGCGTCAGTAAAGTCAGCGTCAGTAAAGTCAGCGTCAGTAAAGTCAGCGTCAGTAAAGTCAGCGTCAGTAAAGTCAGCGTCAGTAAAGTCAGCGTCAGTAAAGTCAGCGTCAGTAAAGTCAGCGTCAGTAAAGTCAGCGTCAGTAAAGTCAGCGTCAGTAAAGTCAGCGTCAGTAAAGTCAGCGTCAGTAAAGTCAGCGTCAGTAAAGTCAGCGTCAGTAAAGTCAGCGTCAGTAAAGTCAGCTTCAGTAAAGTCAGCGTCAGTAAAGTCAGCGTCAGTAAAGTCAGCGTCAGTAAAGTCAGCGTCAGTAAAGTCAGCTCCAGTAAAGTCAGCTCCAGTAAAGTCAGCGTCAGTAAAGTCAGCGTCAGTAAAGTCAGCGTCAGTAAAGTCAGCGTCAGTAAAGTCAGCGTCAGTAAAGTCAGCGTCAGTAAAGTCAGCGTCAGTAAAGTCAGCGTCAGTAAAGTCAGCGTCAGTAAAGTCAGCGTCAGTAAAGTCAGCGTCAGTAAAGTCAGCGTCAGTAAAGTCAGCGTCAGTAAAGTCAGCGTCAGTAAAGTCAGCGTCAGTAAAGTCAGCGTCAGTAAAGTCAGCGTCAGTAAAGTCAGCGTCAGTAAAGTCAGCTTCAGTAAAGTCAGCGTCAGTAAAGTCAGCGTCAGTAAAGTCAGCTTCAGTAAAGTCAGCTTCAGTAAAGTCAGCTTCAGTAAAGTCAGCTTCAGTAAAGTCAGCTTCAGTAAAGTCAGCGTCAGTAAAGTCAGCTTCAGTAAAGTCAGCTTCAGTAAAGTCAGCGTCAGTAAAGTCAGCTTCAGTAAAGTCAGCTTCAGTAAAGTCAGTAAAGTCAGCTTCAGTAAAGTCAGCTTCAGTAAAGTCAGCGTCAGTAAAGTCAGCTTCAGTAAAGTCAGCTTCAGTAAAGTCAGCTTCAGTAAAGTCAGTTTCAGTAAAGTCAGCGTCAGTAAAGTCAGCTTCAGTAAAGTCAGCTTCAGTAAAGTCAGCGTCAGTAAAGTCAGCTTCAGTAAAGTCAGCTTCAGTAAAGTCAGCTTCAGTAAAGTCAGCTTCAGTAAAGTCAGCTTCAGTAAAGTCAGCTTCAGTAAAGTCAGCTTCAGTAAAGTTAGCTTCAGTAAAGTCAGCTTCAGTAAAGTCAGCTTCAGTAAAGTCAGCTTCAGTAAAGTTAGCTTCAGTAAAGTTAGCATCAGTAAAGTCAGCTTCAGTAAAGTTAGCTTCAGTAAAGTCAGCTTCAGTAAAGTCAGCTTCAGTAAAGTCAGCGTCAGTAAAGTCAGCGTCAGTAAAGTCAGCGTCATTCATTGAGAGAACATGTGCGCCTTTGGGGTTTGTAGTCTTTGTAATTACGTATTTTCACAGTCTTATACCTCAACATTTTACTTTAAAATGTATCTTTTAAATTGACAAACATCATATGTGTAATTCAGGGCACAATTCAAACGAGATCAAAATATTTGTTGTCTCTCGCCATCGACTACCATACAATATTTTTCCGAAATAAGGTCCCATGGTGGTCCAGCGGAAGGGGAGGGGCTTAGGCTGTCTATATAGCCCTTTATTTAGGAGGTGGGGTTTATGTAAATTCTAGGGTTGGTGATGTCACTAACCCGGGAGGAATGTTGTGTAGTCCCTACCAGCCGTTTGTTGTAGTCCTTAAAAACTGTTTTCTTTAAAAGCAAATATCTCCCTTTGCTTTGAACTTTGAGCTTTGTAACTTTGCAGATGTTGTTTATGCTCAAACAGCAACATTACACACTAACTACAGTTAGAAAAGTGAAATCATAATCAATCACCCCTTTAATATCAGATGTAAACGAGGGCTGAATGTCACAAAAAATTTATAGGTCACATTTCACTTCAAAAAAGGAGAATGCAAAGCTCTTGAATGTCTCTCCAGGTGCAGGAGAACCGAACTTTGATGCGCTGGACACAAACCCGTACCGCAGCTTTAAGCAGAGACAGGAGTGGGAGGTCAAGGCCCTGCTGGAGAAGGTGCAGCCTGAGCTGATCGGCTTGGACCCGGGGCAGCTGGGTAAAGTGGACCAGGCCAGCTTTGAGCAGAGGCACAAGGAACGGGTTGAGGCGTTGGTAAGTACATCACTGGTAACCCTGCACAAATACATATGGGCGAGAGTGCAGTTAGCTGGAACATCCCATTAGTAGTAGGGCTGTCACTTTTGTGAAAAAATCCTGTTCGATTTTTGAGACATAAGTGTTAAAAAGACGTGTCTAAAGACGTTTCCATTTTCAACAACAAATACAGGCAAATCCACGGACACCTAACAGGCATTAGGACAAGCGTAAAGAGGGCGCTTGAGACGCACAAGTCAGCAATATTTCTGATGATTTATTGGCGTGAAGTTTCGTGCACAATGACAAACAGGAGCGCAACATTCAGGGATTGAGATTAACACCCTCGACCCGCCAAACGCGGCTAAAAATTAACTTTGGCGGGAAACGCTGTCAAATCACGAGCCAATCTGGCGTGTTTCTGTGTTTACTCACTTTGCTGGGGAAGTTCGTGTGAGACAAATCTGCGCGGATTTAGCGCAAATACGCAACTCGTGATCCTCATGATATATTAAATACAACGGCGCTTTATTTGTTGTGGCACGTAATACTTCACTTGCATTGAAGTAATAGCGAATATTAAAAAGCATTTGGTGAACAGAAAAGACATTGTTATTTTCCAGCATCCCACATGTTCTGTGTGCTGTGTTGATCTGTCCACCTAAAACACACGTTTGGTTAAAAAAAAAAAAGCCGTTAAAATCGATTCCCTATTTTCGTTTTCTAAACTTGTGTTGGATGGTCCGATCGATTGTGCAATCGATTTTCGAACGTAAAGTGACAGCCCTAATTAGTAGTGGGCAATATGACCAATATTTTCACAGTATCAGAACATTTTATTTAACGATAAAGATATATATCACGATTTGTTTTTATTTATGTTATAAAATGTATATGGAGCCCCTAGATGGACATGAAGGAGATGTTTTATGTCAATGCTTTTGCGTTCCCCCCGAGAAACTCAAAACACAAGAACATTGAAATATTTATTTTTTCCCTCTCATCTAATTTTTTTTTCATCACCATGTCCCTTTAGGGGCTTCGTAAAAAATAAGAAGCAAATTAAAAACAATAGTACAAAGATACAAATTAGATCACGTAAAAAACATTTATTTAACATGTATTAAGAAATACTGCAATAATCAAATGTAAAAAAAAATACTGCGTAGGATGAACGAAATATAAATTGATTCTTATTAAAGCTAGAAAAGTTATTCAGTCAAGAGCAGTGAGAGATTTTCTCTTTGTGGTTTAATTAACATTAATGAGTTTTCACCTTGTTTACGTTCACTTCAGACTAGACATGTATCAGTATTCGGTAATGTGATATATCGCAATAATGAAACATGCACAATATTGTTATCGTGGGCACCTCAAAATACTGTGAAGAATTATTTATTCCACATAAATAGCATTTTTAGAGTGCATTTTAAGAATACTTTACCCTTCAACCATTTAAAATGCACAAAAGAAATAGCCAATAGTGTTTCGTTTCTATCACAGCTCGGCCAGAGCCGTTGATCTCCTCCTAATCTCATCAGTTTCTCCTCATAATCTCCTCCATATCGCTTTAAAATACAGCATTCTGTGCAGAACTCAAGATGTCTGATACGTGTTCTGGTCTAACTCGATCACATGATCCGCTCTGTGTTTGGTGTCTCTGGACCGGAGCGTACGAGAAACCAGACGGTTGGATGTCTTTAGTTCAGACTTTGTCTTGTCTTTATTTCAGGGCTTTGATCCATTGGCAAAAGAGAAGTTTAAGCCCATAAAAAAGAAGAAGGGAAGAAGTTCGGCTGGTTCTGTGGAGAAAAGAAAGAGGAAAGTCGCCCATGAGGATCAGAGGGTATTTACTTTTTACTTTTAATTTTTGTCTCTCTCTGTCTGTCGTCTTTAATGTATTAGCATGTTCAAGCTCAATGTTTGTATTAGTGGTATTTGATACTGATAATGTTTGCGGTTTGTTAAACACACCACTTCAGATTAATGATTTTGTGAGACACAGTTTGTTGAGGATGTTTGCTTGTGAGGAGAGGTAACTTTAACCAAGCAGATTCAAATCTTTGGCTTGTTGACAACAGGTAAAAGTATATAGCGTTACGCAACAGGCCAGAATATTAAACACTTGAGGGATTTTTGCAGTTAAAAGTTAAGATTACAGTTAATAGTGTTTTTCTTTTGCTCTTTGTTCACATCACTTCCTCTCTCGTGTGATTCTGCAGGATGTAATTCGACAATCCGTACAAGAGAAAATGGACAAACAGAAAGAGCTGGAAGAAAAGTCCAAGGAGAAGAAAGTGTCGGGAATGAAGAAGACTCTTGACCGTTTCAGGAAGTAGAGCAACGGTGACCGCTGTGAACATGAGGACTAATGCAAAGGAGAATACAGTATTCAGAAGACATTTTTATAACAAAACCTCTGGCGGTCTTTTCTACTGTTCCTTGATTGCGTGCAAAACAAAGCTATTTGCTTGTTTAATAAAATGCCTAGAATATCTATAAGAAATTGCACATGTATTTATTTTTAAAGACCCAGTTTTCGTTTTAAATGCTTTCCACCCACACAAGTTTCTTGTCCACACTGAAAACATAATAAAATCTCACTGAGATGATGGCGAGAGACCAGGCGTAAAGTTCTCATGCTATTCTATTCTGATCGTTTTATTAGCAAAATATCTCAGCGTTTTTGACACAGGACGGCGATTGAGTGTACATTTTCTGTCGTCTTTGCAGGATATACAATATGTAAGTAAGATTTATCTTTATCAACACTGACAGTGTATAAACACATCTATGGGTACAATATGCATCACATGACTAAACGTGTCATCGTTAGGGTTTGGTATAGTTTGAATTTTGACGATTCTTATCGATTCCTAATTTCAAATCTAATAAGGGAAATAAAAAAATGATATTCACATTTATTCTGTCTTATTGCAAAACATTTCATTGTAGCTGAATAATATGAACAAAAATCAACAGAGGTTTTAAAGGTGCCCTAGAATGTTTTTTTATTATTATTTTATAATGTTTCCTGGGTTACCCTTATAATGTTAGTATGTTTTTTAGATAAAAAAATATTCATAATTTAGAAATAAATGGCATTTTTCCTAGCCTGCTTTTAGCCTCTGATTTGAACACTCTGTTTGAAGGGGCGTGTCTCTGTGGGATTCAGTGTAACCGCGGCCACTGCTGTGATTGGCTGACATGCTTGCATATGAAATAGCAACGCATTACATGTGAAACTCTCTCGAATACTTTTACTACTGCTATTATACGTTTTTACTATAACAGCTATCGAGATTAACGAATCGTGAGATGTTTTTAAAGTATTTAGATCTATTCCCATCACATAAAATGTTGCCGTGATGAGCATTGAGCAGATGACAGTGTGTTGATCGCGAGAATGAAGATCTTATCATTGCAAAGCAGTTTCTGCACTCTCTCTGCTTTCCCCAATGCAAACACGATGATGTAAATACAGTAAGAGCTTCGTTGTGCAGTAACGTGCGTCATTGATTTCATAACGAGTTTGGCAAGTGTCCAGATAAACTCGCGCTGTGTGGAAAGATTGTTCTTTGATTGCTTATAAATAAAATATATACATTTATAGGTACAAAACATATTCAGTCAAGAACAGCGGGTGTCATTGTTTGATTAGCGCTATTATAAAGACCGCAGTGGGAATATTAGGCTGCTGTCACTTTAAGAGCTGCACGTATCCAATACACTGAGACGTGTAAAAATGTGTCAACTGTTTGTTAACGTAAGACCTAACCGACTGTTTACGGGGATATTTTGTTTGTATTTGTCTTTTTAAGTGCAAAAAATCAATCTATACAGTATGAGAGGCGGCTTTCTGTGAGTGCGCTTTGGATGTGTAAACAGAAAACAGCCTGTGGGTCTTCATGCGCTTGAATGGTTTAATATCACATTTTCCAGTATATCTGCATTAGTGTGGACTTGTCTGAATCAAATCACCGGGCTTGCCATGGTTCAGTGCTTTGTCCCCTCTTTTCCTCAATATGCAGAACTTCACTGGAAACACTCATAAAGGCATGTCTGGCTTCAGCTCAATCTTGCCAAACCTGAGCGACCACAACATCACTGTTCAATAGGGTTCAACAACACTGATGGCGAACATCACAGCAAGAAACCAGTGGCACTTCATAGCATCAAACCATTCCTGTTTCAGCAGTCTGTGCAGACCTTCATCCAAGCTCTTGACGTTTCAAGACTAGGTTATTCCAGCAATTCCCTGTTGGCCGATCTTCCAGCCAGCGTGACTCTACACATCCAGTAGTTTGAGTTTTCTGCGCACAGACATTGTCAAAACGATCCCTATTCACACGGATCCACGAAAACGACTAAAAACGCTGTATTCTGCTGCCAGGCCAGTAGATGGCGATGAAACACTATACTTTTTAAAAAAAAATTATACCCAAGCGTACTTTTTTTTTATTTCCAAAATTATCTGACATAATACAGTAGATATAAATGATTCACATATACTGTTCTAAATGATTGCAAATCATCATAAGATATGAAGAGCATTAAAGAGAACATTCATATCAATGAAATTAAAGAACATTCGAATCACATCGAAACAAGAAAAAGAAAGAAAAACAACACAATGGAAAACGAGGTATACATGTATAATTAAAATAAAGAAGAGGAATTTAATTCTTTGAGGATGTCCATCGTTCTGGTTGCTTTGCGGTTTGAGAGTCCTTTCAGTGTTTCAAAATAAATCATGTCAGCTTTAAAGTGGTAGATGTTAGGTCCCCTTTCAGACCATATGTAAAACTTACCAAGTAATAAGATCAAATTCAACATAAAATCGTGCCTCTTGTCTATATCTTTTTCTTTCTTTTTTTTTTATAACAAAAAAACATCCCTTTTCTCTATACTAATCTCAATTCCACTCAACATATCGAAACACTATAAACTGAACACGTAATGCGCATGTGCATGACGACAACGTCTTCAGAGATTCACGTTTTTGTTGCCGTTTTCAAAAACTTGCACTTTGAAACCCGTTTTCAAAAGTGTGTGTTCTCTGGCAACCAAAACGCCTTTGTAGTGTAAATGAATGGCCAGAACGCATAAAGTTGTACTTTTTTTTTTTTTTTTTTAAACCATCGTGTAAACAGCCCAGCAGACGCCTAATGGTTCCCTCACGATGAAGAACAAAGTCCTTTTCTAAAATAGTCACCTCTCTGTTCCTCTGTATTGAAAACCTGCCAACCTCCACCTGATCTGCTGAAACTGAGAAAATGGTCATTTTAAAATGAACTAGAAATCAACAAATTATTGGTATTGTAAAGCAACTTTGTGTATCTGCCAAAGCGTATCCAACAATCTAAATGGCGGCTTGAAAACAAGTACACACTGTTTTGATTTCCTTCCTTCTGGTTGCTTCCCAATTCGCCTACTTACACTCACCTAAAGGATTATTAGGAACACCTGTTCAATTTCTCATTAATGCAATTATCTAATCAACCAATCACATGGCAGTTGCTTCAATGCATTTAGGGGTGTGGTCCTGGTCAAGACAATCTCCTGAACTCCAAACTGAATGTCAGAATGGGAAAGAAAGGTGATTTAAGCAATTTTGAGCGTGGTATGGTTGTTGGTGCCAGACGGGCCGGTCTGAGTATTTCACAATCTGCTCAGTTACTGGGATTTTCACGCACAACCATTTCTAGGGTTTACAAAGAATGGTGTGAAAAGGGAAAAACATCCAGTATGCGGCAGTCCTGTGGGCGAAAATGCCTTGTTGATGCTAGAGGTCAGAGGAGAATGGGCCGACTGATTCAAGCTGATAGAAGAGCAACTTTGACTGAAATAACCACTCGTTACAACCGAGGTATGCAGCAAAGCATTTGTGAAGCCACAACACGCACAACCTTGAGGCGGATGGGCTACAACAGCAGAAGACCCCACCGGGTACCACTCATCTCCACTACAAATAGGAAAAAGAGGCTACAATTTGCAAGAGCTCACCAAAATTGGACAGTTGAAGACTGGAAAAATGTTGCCTGGTCTGATGAGTCTCGATTTCTGTTGAGACATTCAGATGGTAGAGTCAGAATTTGGCGTAAACAGAATGAGAACATGGAACCATCATGCCTTGTTACCACTGTGCAGGCTGGTGGTGGTGGTGTAATGGTGTGGGGGATGTTTTCTTGGCACACTTTAGGCCCCTTAGTGCCAATTGGGCATCGTTTAAATGCCACGGCCTACCTGAGCATTGTTTCTGAACATGTCCATCCCTTTATGGCCACCATGTACCCATCCTCTGATGGCTACTTCCAGCAGGATAATGCACCATGTCACAAAGCTCGAATCATTTCATATTGGTTTCTTGAACATGACAATGAGTTCACTGTACTAAAATGGCCCCCACAGTCACCAGATCTCAACCCAATAGAGCATCTTTGGGATGTGGTGGAACGGGAGCTTCGTGCCCTGGATGTGCATCCCACAAATCTCCATCAACTGCAAGATGCTATCCTATCAATATGGGCCAACATTTCTAAAGAAAACTTTCAGCACCTTGTTGAATCAATGCCACGTAGAATTAAGGCAGTTCTGAAGGCGAAAGGGGGTCAAACACAGTATTAGTGTGGTGTTCCTAATAATCCTTTAGGTGAGTGTGTACTCTTTTTGTAGAGAAAAACTGCATACTTTTGAGTGTGTAGCAGAAGTTTTGGGACGTACTGACATCCCACCCTTCAAAAACTCAAATCCGGAAGGTTTTACCTCGACAAACTGACTGTTAAATAAGGTTCCCACGAGTAATTATTACGTTCCCACAAATTATCATCTCATGGCCATGACATATTATCACTATCCCACCTATCTTTTTTAACAGTATGTATCCCATATGGACATGGCCACGAACCGAACATGTCCCCTCCCGGACACCGTAATAATCTGCCAATGAGTGTCACTCTGTGAACACTAGAGGGAGCCACAGGTATTAGTGGTGTAAACCTTTGGGCGAGGCCTCAGTTCTTCACAGCTGAAGATGCGTTTCCAACACATGCTTTTCAATGCCTTGCATTACAATAGTGTTACTAATACAGCTGAATGACTTTAGTGTTCTTTTTAAATGTCATTACTATAGTAATAACTATAAATGATGCATAATAACATGCAACTAACCACTACAGTAAGTACGTCCATTTATATTACTAAATGTGTAATTAGTCTAACAAAGACGCCTCAAAATAAAGTGTAACCCTGTATTCATATGACACAAGATATCAGTTGAATGCAAATGAAAAAGCAGTAAATACACGAACAAGGATTCATTACTTCAATGAGCTCATTGTTTCTGCCTTAAATTATTACATTGTTTAAATTAAGACATTTTTAGCTAACTGTGATTTTGTATATGTACATTTCTGAAATACATAACTCATACAGTTTCCTCTGATAACGGATCACTCTGAATTGTAATGTGGACTCGTGCATTTTTTGTAAAGCTGCTTTGAAAC